CGATCCACATCTTGTATGCAGGAAAATTGCAACTGATATCCCTTCTTTTCTTTTTTTCTTTTGTTTCTTTCCCTTTTCTTCCTTCTCTCTTGTTTTGCGGGGGGGGGGGAGGGGGGGGGGCAACAGCATTGGCGGCAATGCCCTATAGGCCCGGCCGATCTCCTTCTTTTCCCCTTTTTCTTTTCTTCTTCCTTTACTCTTCTCTCTTTTTTCCTTTTCACTTCTTTTCCTTCCTTCTGTCTCTCTCTCTCTCTTTTTTCTGCTGAGGGGCCAAGGGAGGGCAGGCGAAGGCCTTTCGCCCCCGATCCACACCGCGTTGGTGGGAAAAATCACAATTGATCTCCCGTACCTTTTTTTTTTCCCCTTTCCCTTCTCTTCCTTTCTCTCTCGTTTAAATTTGCTGTAGAAGGGGGAGACAAGGGTCATTTGCCCCCCCCCCCCCGATCCCCAACTTGTTGGAAAACTGCAACTGCTGAAAAAAAAACTGCTGGAAAATTGCAACCAATGTCCCCCTTCTTTTCTTTCCTTCCCTTTATCTCCTCTTTTCGCTTTGTTCTTTCCCTTCTCTTCCTTCTCTCTTTCTTTTTGCTGGGGGGGGGGGGGGGGAGTAGCAACAGCCTGGGAGGCAAAGCCCTCTCGGCCCCCCCCCCCGATTTCCTTCTTTCCCCTTTTTTTCTTCTTCTTCCTTTCCCTTTGTCTCTTCTCTCCCTTTTCCTTATTTGTCCTTCCTTCTTTCTTTCTCTCTCTCTCTCTCTTTTGCTCTTTTTCGCACCCGATCTCCTTCTTTTCCCCCTTTTATTGTCTTCTTCCTCTTCTTCCTTTCCCTTACTCTCCACTTTACCTTCTCTCTCTCTCTCTCTCTCTCTCTTCATTTTTTGTTGGCGGTTGGGGGTCAAGGCCCTCTCGACCCTCCCCCCCCCCCCCCCCCCCTGGTTCCGCGCCGGGAAGACCTGTAGATTACAGGTCTTCTAGCTAGCTGGCAAAGCTGAATATGGGTTATCCAGACGTTTCATTCATCATTAAGTATATACGTGTGGACTAGAGTACGGACATTCGGTGCGGCAGGCGGATTATTGGTGCGAGACCCCTTCCGCACAGATTGTCCGTCGGACATTTGAGGCGCGCACGGAATGTCCGACACGGACATTCTGCGCGGATAAAATCCGTCTCGATCGATCTCTAATAGGGGGACGATCGGTGCGGGTTACATTCTACGCGGTCACAGCGACACTATATCCATCCTACAATGGAATGCCCAAGGTCTGCAAGGGGGGGGGGGGGCACGGGGACGAAGTAGTTCAATTGCTACTGTTACGCAGGAATAACCCCTACCATATATTGTGCATTCAAGAAACGTGGTCTACAGAAAATAATATATTACAACTACCAAATTATACATGTATACCACGCAACAGAATAGCCAAAATGAGAGGCGGATGCGTTACCTACGTCCATAACTCTATATATTTCAAAAATATAACCTTCCATGATACCTTTGAATTAAAAGCTATTCAACTGCACCTCAAAACTTCCTGCATGACAGTAATAAATAACTACAATCCATGTCAGCGATTAGACATGGATACCCTGAAGTCCATCATTCCAGAATATGCTACCGCAAAGTACCATCTAATCCTAGAAGAAATGGGGGCAGTACGACTACTGATTATAGAAGAAATATAGAAAATAAAAATATAATAATACTAAACGATGGATCAGGTACGAGAATGGATCACCATACGGGAAAATTATCCTGTCTAGACTTAAGCTTAGCAACACCCTACATAGCTAATAGATGTCAGTGGAATGTAAAGCAAGATAAGTTTGGAAGCGATCACTTTCCTATAGAAAATACAAATCAATCTACATCCTGTAGAAGAAATACATGAACGAGAATAAATAAAACAAAACGAACCATATCTTAGTTACAAAAAAGCAGACTAGAAAGAATTTGAACAGCAGCGACATAGAATTATCTAATATAACTTCAAATGAAAACACAGAAGAATACTACAACGAATTTATACAAGTCACAAAGAAAATTATGAAGGTAACGATAACGACAGTAACTAAAAAAACAAAACCACCCAATTCATGGTGGAATGAAGCCTGCCAACAGAGAATTAAAGAACGAAACAAAGCTAAAAATAGAGCCATCAAATAAAGTGATAAAAGATTATCTCTGCGAATAACTAAATAAGAGCCCTTGCACAGAAAACAATAAGAGAAGCAAAGAGGCAACATTGGAACAAATACTGCTCCAAACTTAATAGATTAACCCCGACTTCAGAAATTTGGAAAATGATAAAAAGATACAACAATATCATACAAAAAAGAATGCTTACCAACATTAGAGGAAAATGATATAGAATATAATACCGATCAAGAAAAGGTCATAAGATAGCTGAAGATTACACCTACGTAACTAAACACGAGAGACGATTTCTTTTTGTGTTGCTATTTTGAACTTCCATGAGTGATGTTTCCTAGCATCTACTAAATGTACTTTGTTGGTCTGGACGCGTGATGGCGTTTGTCTATGCACATCACATTTTCACTTGGCAGCCCAAGGGGGGGGGGGGGGGGGGTAGGCCCCCTATCTCCCCCCCCCCGAAGATCCGCCCCTGACAATCAATAACAAGGTAACAATCATGACTATGTGAATGACCCCAAAGTTCCATCAGGATCAGGCACAGGAATGCGTCCAAATCCACAACAATGAGTACATTATGTCCCTCCAAAGCCTTTAAGCGTTTCGTCGAGTTTTTTAAAGCCTACATCACTTAAGTAATATATCTGACAACAGCAGAAAACGATTTGGAACACATAGTGCAAATAGTAACTGAACAGAGTAAAGTTACATTTTTAATCTAAATAAAAAACACATGTTATATTTATTCAGGAAGAGGGGTTTAAAAACGAAAAATGAATTTCATTTCAGGATTATAATGTATTCTTATTTATAAGAAACACTGGTCCCAGAGGTGGGTGTGCTATATACACTGTCGCTCATATAGTTGGAATATTTTTGTTTTACCCCAATTTATGGAATTACATTAAAAAATAATACAAAAATAATAGATCTAGATCTAGGCACCGTCCGGAGCCCGCACGGGACCCGTAAGGTGCCTCACGGGCCCTTTACGGGTTTTCTACGGGCTGACGGTCACTTAAAAACGCCGGGAGAATTGGGAGCAGCCAACTCAGCACCACGGGGCCCGTACGGCTTAGAAAATTGCCCCAGCGCCCCACAGTGGGCCAGGGAGGGACCAAAGTGCGCCAAAATTAAATTTGGGTGATTTATTTTTTTCTATTTTTTTCTTGCCCAGTTGAAAGGTAATACATAGAGGAATACCTCAGTGAAATATTTAATTCCGGTATGCACAATAAGGGTATAAATTTACTACTTCAAACAGCAAAATCCTACATATTCACAGTTTTAGTGCAAAAGTGACTTATTTTATAAATCTTTCAATTCAACATGAAGTTTTTAAGTTATTGATATGAAATTGCTCTCACATATTCCTGATAGTTCATTTCGTTGAATGAATGGGTTAAAATTAATAGAAACACAATCTTCATGATATATTATTGTGTAATTCACTGAAAAATGGGCTAATTATCCATGTTTTTTATAAATCCAGAAGAAATGTTTAGATCTCCGCGGTGTACCGCTTACATTTTAATACCACCCTTTCCTCTAATGTCTAAGCTTCAAGTTGATACCAAATTTGGCTGCCCGATCTTGCCCGTTGTTATGTTAGAGCCGATTTCCCTTGCCACATTGCCCCGAAAATGTGGATTTTGGGGGTCCGCGGATGAATCATGAAGGATTTGTGGTCATAAATCACGGCGCGAGGGGGCGCGTGACACTTGTTCGGACACCGCGGACCAAAATAAACACATTTTTTGTGGCAATGTTGCAAGGAAAACAGCACTAACATAATAACGGGCAGAATCAGGCAGCCAAATCTGGTATCAACTTAAAGCTTAGACATCAGAGAAAATGTTGGTAATACAATTTAAGCGAAAATCCCTGGAAATCCAAACATTTTCTCTGGATTTATAAAAAAGAAATCCCCAAACAAGAGTTTTGGCGCACTTTGGTTCCTTCCTGGCCCACTGTGCGCCCGTAGGAACTTGACGGCAGCCGGACGGACACCGGCCGGAAATTTCCAAAATGTCTGTTTTTACTCGCCGTACGGGCCCCGGAGTGTATATGTGAAAGCCCCATTAGCTTGAAAATCTGCTATCTCTATCTCTATCTCTCTCTCCCTCTTTCTCTCTCTCTCTCTCTCTCTCTCTCTCTTTATTCATCTCTTTTTCTGTCAAGACTTCTTGTTAGGGGTACACAAACCTTCCATGACTTTAGTATATAACCGACTAATCCTTGAATGAGTCTAATGCTACGGTCACAAAGGTTCGTACGAACGATAATTTCTTACGAATCTCCCTGTTTTTCCATTGTCTTCCCGAATTACCATTGTCTGAAAATCATTCGTACGGCGTCCGTAGCAGTTCGTAATGGCATTTGTGACCGAGGCTTAACATGGAACATAATAGTTAGAAAACAAACGGTATTTAAAATACGAATTTTGTAAAGATTCTCGGAAATCATAATTTCACGATCTCTGCATGATTTTTTTGTTAAAAGGTTAGGGTAAAGGCCTTTTCAATCAAATGGCACTAGAATTATTAACACTATTTTATAATTGAGTAAGCAATGGCTGATATTTATTGCGATTTTGTTCTTTCTTTCAAAAGCAGTCAGTGCTCACTCAAGCGTACAATATTCTCAATACTGTAGGTGCCATCTGACTGAATAGGCCCTCGCCCATAATTTCAACCCCGAGAATCATGCAGATATCGCGGAATTATAATTTTGCCGGATACTTTCACAGTGTGTACTTTTTATAAGCACTATATTGAGTGCATATTGACATTTAGTTTGTTGCATGTTATTCATTGTCTTTCTCCTTATGTTGTTTTTATTCATACAGAAAACCATGGCAGAGGTAACAGACGCAGTTATTTCTTGGTTTTGTGGAGGAGAAAACTCGTCTACCGTAGACGATGTTTCAATCATTCTACATCATCCTGGTAACTGGGCCTCCAACACCTGTACAATTGACCTCGTATTCCTTATCTTGCACTTGGTATTTTGTATGATGGCTTCACTGGTTTTAATCTTCATACCTGTATGTAGCATCTCTCGTACAACTGATCATGCCTACATCATCCGCTATCCAGGTCACGTGGTCCGTTGGTTGACGTATATCCTGTACACTCTTCTATGTATCGGTATGATTGTCGAAAGTATCTTAACCTCAAATGACCATTACTTTGATGGTCCACCGAGACTGTACATCGTACCACTAGCTGGATTCCTGGCCGCCATCTTTGTAATGGTATATTATCATTACATGGAATACTGGGAGCTACCGGGAATGTGGCCTGTACAGTTCTTATACTGGGTTTGCCTCCTCGTCGCAGAGTGTTTCAGGGCCCCTGCGTTTCATCACGATAATATTACGTCACGTCACATGATCTGGATCTTCAATAAGTCAATGGTAGCTGTGGATGGAGCGATGTGTTTGGTGGAAATATATTTTCTGATGAAAAAGGTAATGACCCGAGCACAACTAGACATGCAAGATCTAATATTATGACGAGTACAATGATATACGCATTCCAGTCTTGAAAAAGGGTACATATCCCACCACTTGTGCTTTCATACGTGTTAAAAAAGAATCCTAGCTGGAAATTATCAAACCTACGTGCGTGATAGCTAGTTGAAAATTCAAAACCGTTTTTCGCCAGCATATACGGTTGTTCTTTTGCTTCAAAATAATCTTAAAACCTAGGCCTATAATTAGCGAGTTTTCGCACGGCGACGCAAGTGCTGACTAACTCTCTCTAAAAAAAAGAGTGAATTTTCACTCTATTTTCACTTTCTTGGGAGTGACGTCCGTGATCACTTGTTTAGGAGTGAATATCGATTGATTTTCGAGTGCTCTCTAAGAGGAAAAGAGTAAATGTTCACTCTATTTTCACTACATTTTCACTCTCCAGAGGAGTGACGTCCGTGATCACTCGACTTTTTTAGAGAGTATTTAAATATGAGCTCGCCACCCCGTACGAGCTCGACTCCCGACGCTATACGGCTAAATACCGTCGTAAGTGTGGACGCTACGTGGAAATGTTGCGACCCCCCCCCCCCCGGCTTACATTAAGGTTGTAGAAGGCTGCGTCACCGGTTGCGAAAACTCGCTATTACAAGATAGGGTGGGGACACATATTTCTTTCTTCCCTATCCTGCATGATCATTGTCCTTATTAGTCTCTTTTCAAATAGTAATCATCCATTATGTTTTAGGTTTAAACATTGAGAAATTGATGATATACATGCTTGTTAGAATCTCTTTGTCTTAAGGTGCTACTTCGTGCATTTCGAACAACCAGTATATCACCCTTCCCCCCTTAAAATCTTCAAACGTAAACCAGGGATTCAGCCTCGGATCATCACCTAAAGAACATCCTCCAGAATTGAGGAATCTGAAGTATCTTCACGATGATTGTAGTTTGCCATCATCTCTCCTCTATGCATGGATGAACGACCTGTTTATGAAAGGCATGACGCAGGCAATAGATGATGAAGATATGGGGAGTCTACCCGATGAGCATTCTACAAAGAACTCCAGCGAACGATTCGCCAAAATTCTCATCCAAGAACAGGTATTTCTAGAATCTTTTTACCTAAATTCTAGTCGTTTGATAGACGAATAAAATCATAGTTGTGGCGATGGTAAGGATTAAAGGCCAAAGAAAGGCTTACATTGTTTGCTGTGGGAAGACAAAATTGAAGGTAACGATATAAAATATTTGATTATATAAATGTTAAACCCTGAACAATTGGCATCATTACGTTGACATGTAACGTCGTCAAAAGATACCACCATTTTTAGTTACCAGAATCCATGAACCTCTATGATGCCTTCAAATTTTCTACTAAACATCCTTCCTCTTTGAAGTGTTTTGAGCGGAAAAGTATCTAATAAATGGACCAAACATTGAAAGTTCAGCATTTGCAATCGGAAAGTGTGTCTGATTGTTCTTGTTCGTTTTTTCTTCATTCGAACCCCTTAGGAGAGGGCCAGAACTAAAGGCCGTGAGATCAGTTTCAATGGAGCTCTCTACAGATTCCTTAAGAAAGGAATATACATTTCTGGAATTCTTAAATTTGTTGGAGATACGTCAGGGTTTGCCGCGCCATATGTCATCGCTGGAGTTATCAGATGGGCAACTTTGCAGAGCAAAGACATCGAGGAGACAGGGCCAACAAATCATGTACGCATTTACTAATTTAGTTTATCATTTTAATCGTTGTCACCACCGACAACCCTTCCTTAATATCATTATCATTAGGTGTTAATCACTCTATTGATTTGCTATTCCTGAATAACTCAATTGTATTATGTACATTATTTCGCTTTAATCGTTAATGATAAAGGTTTGTTTATGTCATCTTATCTCATAGAAACATAGTCTTACCTCTTTTTATCTTGATTCAGTTTACATACTTTGAACTGTGATTTTAGTCATTTTTCATGGGAAACCAATAATTGCCTTTTTCATACGCTTGGCTGCATTACATCATTTCTGTCAATACAAATATACATTTATTTTAATTTGTGTGGTAATGTTCCACATTTTACACGAAATATAGACATACATAATAGTATAAATGAGCACGTCTCAATGATTCTCAATTCATAAAATAAATTAAGTAAAGAATGTGAGGAACCTATTAAAAAGCAGTGCTTGTATATTATAGGTTCCCGGAAAAAGTTTTGTAAATGAAAAAAACCGTAGCAGTAGAGAAGGACGTAATTTAGAGGGGAGAATTTAAAACACAATGAAATAAGGAAATTTGTATACAAAATATTGCGTAAGCACCAATACCCAGAGTCACCCGGTTAAAATGCGAAGTCAAAATGTGTCGTCAAAATGCGTAGTCACCCGTGCAATTTAGTTAGCATAGCACAAAGTAATTTGTTTTCATACATTAAAAAACCGGAACGTGCATCATAAATTAACAGTTAAGATTAGCATTGAAGAAAAAAGGACTGGGGAGGGCAAACAAAATATATTAGATGTAAGAATTTAAAGAAAAACTCGAAGTTTGTGTTAAAAGCAATTTAACAATGGTGCTTCCTTAACCTCCAAATCCAAACCTTTTCAAAAAAAGGGACTGGTATACATGATTGTTTAGGGGAAAAAACTGTCCAGATTGGGGGAGATGGAAATTGTCTCTTTGTCTTTTGGGATAGGAGTGAATAACGCTGTTTAAAGCAAACATAGGAGGGAATATATTGGGCAGTTCATTCCTTACTTAGCTGATACATGAAAACTCCGAGTAAATAATTGTATAAATCAGATACTTTCAGAAAACTATTAGCAAGAAATAAAACGTTGGCGTGTGCCTGGAAATCTGTCAAATCTATTATTCTTATTTCTCTTTTTTGGATCATGAAAATCGAATTCATTTTTGTTTTTAAACAATTTCCCCAAGCTAGCACCCCGTAATTTAAAAGAGGTGGTAACAGAGTTGAATATAATATTTTTAAGACATGATATGGAAAATAAGATAACTACTAATAAGATAATAACTTCTTTATTACACCTACGTTCCTAGACAACAGTTTGCATAAATAATCAATTTGAGTATTCCATGTTAGTTTACAGTCGATAAGAAGACCAAGAAATTTAGTGGAGTTTATGTGGGTTAAGGGTAAGCCATTAACCAAAACTTGTTCTGGTAGCTCAGACAGCGTATTGCTGAACATCATAACATCAGTTTTATTCAAATTCAGGAACAATTTGTTTGCTTGTATCCATTTAACTACAAAATGGCAGTTCAAAATTCAGAGAATCAAGAAGAATTCTAGGATTGGGATGTGAGCAGAAAAAGCTTGAGTCGTCTGTACAATGTACGAAGGAAAGAACCGTGGATGAATTTATGAAGTCATTTGTATAGATAATAAAAAGGAGCGGGCCAAAAGAGAGCCTTGTGGTACCCCACATGTTATTGATCAAGGCCGCTCCTCGGATGCCATAATAGGCAAGTTTATATAATAAAATCTCGTGATTAATAGTGTCATAGTCCTTGGAGAAGTCCAAAAAAGTACCAATCGTGTGTGACTTATTATCAATTGCCTTGGCTACTTTATCAATCGATAATAAAATAGCGTGTATAGATGAGTGATTTGGTCGAAAACCAAACTAGTGATCTGTCAAAATATTGCATCAGTAAGGATCGTAATGGTACGGGTATATACAATTTTTCAAGTAATTTTGAAAAAGTTGTCAACAAAAATATTGGTCGATAGTTTCCTAACTGCTCTTCATTTCCTTTTAAAAAAATGGGATAACCTTTGCAACTTTCATTTTACTAGGGGCGATATATTAAAAATTATTAAATATTAAAAATTTGAAATACCATCATATCCTGCGCTCTTTTTTATCCATATTCGACACCATATCAATTACTTCTGTTTCACGAATAGGAAGAAAGAATATAGATCGAGAATTTCGATTGTTTAAAAACATATAGAAAGGTTTAGTGAGCGTGGGAATGTTGACAGCGAGATTAAGACCAATATTTGTAAAATATGAATTAAAAGCTTCAGGAATACGTAGAGAGTCATTTACGACATTACCTTTCCAAATAATGTTATCAAAATGTATTACTTTTTTATGAACTTTTCCAAGCACATCATTAATTATTTTCCAAGTAGATTTTATATCTGTTTTGTGAGAAGAAAACTGAGGAAAATTAATCTTTTTCAGCCTTACGTAGCACAAATGTCCAGACATTTACGATAGGAGGTGTATTTGAATTTAGCTGCATCCGTGTGACAGGATTGGTATTTGTAAAAAAAGATTATTTTTTTGCGGTTGATACTTCTTAAAATATTCCTAGAAATCCAAGAAGACCTGGGGACTTTTTATAGTTGGGTTTGGACGGTGGTGTAATTGTAAAATGATTATTAAACAGAGACAAAATTGCATCAATAAACTTATCGTATGCACAGTCCACATCATTAGTATCAAGTACTTCAGACCAGTTAACTTGGAATAAGCTTTGTTGGAATCGAGTAACACTTTGCTCCGATATAGCACGTGATCCTGTTGTGCACTTTACTTTTTCAGATTTTTGACTGTGTAGAACATTCGCGGTGGAAACACAAATTCTCTTTTGCATAAAATTTAGTACGGTTTTTTAAAGCATGTGTCAACAGAAATAGCTGTTATTGATCTTCAAGATTAATTAACTAGTGTATTTAATAATAAAAATTACATGCTATTGGTGCTTTTTTAGATTTAAGCAAGGCATTTGATACAATTGTTTTTTCTAAATTATTATCTTCACTTTCCTGTTATGGGATGAGGGTTTACCACTCCTCTGGCTCAAAAGTTATTTACATAATAGAACTCAATGTATGTATTTATGGTGTTTTATCTGATTATTTGAAAATGACATGTGTTGTGCCCCGGGACCAATCCTTTGGCCCCTACTGTTTTTACTTTGTATAAATAACTTCCCAAATTCGTCAGATTAATTGAAATTTATCCTTTTTGCTGATGACACCAATATCCTCTACACATCAAATGACATCGTGCCTTTATATAGCACGCTAAATATTGAATTGCGTAAATTATCAAATTGGTTCAAATGCAATAGATTAATCTTGAATGCCGGAAAGTCAAATTTCATATATTTTCATTCCAATTATAGATTGGTTTCTACAGAGCTCCTAAATTAATATCAAATCACAATGGAAGATAACATTCTTAATCGTGTTGCTAAAAGCAAGTTCTTGGGTATTTTTATTGACGAAAATTTATCCTGAAAAACACATATATCCCACATTAATAAGATAATGTCTTGGAATTTGGTGTCATCAGCAAGCTCCGCCTAAATCTGTTCTTCTTATGCTATACAATACACTTATATTACCGTTTCTTAATTATTGCAACATTGTTTGAGCAAATACTTACCCAACCAAACTGCATCGTTTATATATTCTACAAAAGAGGATTGTAATAAATATAACGCTCATTATCTTATTATCGCATTATCCAACTCATTCAAAACGGATTTTCAAAACAACTTAATAAATTTAATCTATCAAATGTTTACCAATTAAATGAATATAATTATGTGTGCAATACTTATATTTAAGAATTAAAAAAGTCAGCTTCGTAAATACTTATCCAACATTTTTATAACAAACAGTGCAAGACATAACTATGATACGAGATATAAGAAGAAATATTATCGATGGTGTGTAAATACAGAATTCGCATCATATTCTTTTATACATCATGCACCTGAAATTGGAACTTGCTTCCAAGTAATTTAACTTCAATCTCATTACAGTTTTAAACGTAATCTCAAAAGTTTCTGGATTGCGCGTGACTCTCACTAAATGTATTTATCTAGTTTTTCATTTTTCTCTCTCTGATTTCTCTTTTTCACCCTTCTATCTTTCTCTCTCTTCCTTTTCACCTCTCTCTCTCTCTCTCTCTCTTTCTTTCCCCTCACATTTTCCCTTTACCATCTTCTTACTTTTGCGTCCTATCATGTTGTATTTCGTGTACAGGGCTTATGCCGGTTGTTGTACATTTTCTTAATGATACTATCCGACACCTTACTTGTTACTTGTTTCTTATTCTATATTTATCAAATCTAATTCTTTAGGAAGCTGTCCAGACAAAATCTTCTCTTGGTCTTTTTTATATTTTTTTTTTACAGCTGTGCCTTATTTTTTTTCTTCATTAATTCATTGTCCATGTAACTATATGTTATCCCAATTTATATACTTTATTTTACATGGAATTGCATGTTTTTACCTTTGTAAAAATGTTTCTAAAGATGGAATTGAATAAACTGAACTAAACTGAACACATATTATATTAAATAATCTACTCCCCTGTCTAACAAATCATATCATCATAACTTACATAAGATTAATGCAAACCGAGATGATATGATTACATTAAATATGTTAAAATAGGAGTAAGTTTATTCGCTCCTATGACGATCTCCAACTACACCAAAAACAAGAAGATTCAAAAAATGTATTTGCATAAATATTGTATCTTATGCAGTAATGAATTATCAATGTTTATTTTTACAACACACAGATGCTGGAGTCATATATCACGGTGGGAGATTTCTTTTCCAATGGATATGTTCTGGTGACGGTCCTCTTCTTCCAATTAGTCTTCCAAAGTATCTGTACTCAATTAAGTTATCACTATATCAACTTAGAGGCAGCCAAAGTCAGGGCTGCCATACAGGTAAACACAGCTTACTACTTTCCTTTTGCAAGAAATTGCATTATGGTTAGATTTGATTTATACAGCAACAAAAAACTATCATTCAGTTTGGATTGAATTGAATTTTATTTCCAAACATATGGAAACGTTGTATCTTCCGCTTAATCTAACTAGCGTGCATAGAACAAATATCATTTTTGCATGAAAAAGTACAGTTTTCTATTTTTAAAAAAAGTGCGTTCTTTCCGGCATTTGGATGCCCGGAGAGTCACTGTCTGCTTGTTGGTATGTGAAACATGACAAATATCTGTATCAAGCCGATATTCGATACTTATATTTTACGCTACATCGTTGAAAAGCTCTAATGTTCATATTATCATTGATTGATCAGAGAAAAACCTCAATGCCGCTAATGATTAAATCACGACCCACTTTTACTACCTTGAAAATAATTAGATTGTCTTACGACGGGCATTCCAGAACCTAGAGATAATTTTTGGAGAGCTAATTATAACTGTCCTAGATTATTATTATTTTAATAATAATAATAATAATAATAGCTTGTTCTTATATAGCGCTTTTCAGGACCGAAGGCCCTCTCAAAGTACATCATTACTGTGTATCCAATGCGCCGGCATGCCAGTGCTTTTATACAAGGGTGAAAGAGCCGGCTGTAACGGCACTTCAAACACACCCTAGTAAACACTGCTTGCTACAGCTGACTATAATTTATAGAATGCAGTCGGGAGTTCGCTATGCAATGACATTTTATGTTAAACTGGACATAAAACTTACGAAATGCTTTAACTTAAAGTCTTTGGTGATCTGTGACGAAAGTTGAATCTACCGTCATCATCCAGTGCCCAATAGAAGCATCCTTTCTCCCCAGACCACAATAAGGCCAGGCAAAGCAAGTCCAGCGGGAAGGTCATGGTGATTCCTTTGTTCGACATACATTCGTCCACAATTTCATCCTGGTAACTAGAGAATGGTATTAAAACCGTTCCTTATCCTCACTACACACTTACCTTGCTCTCTGTGACTTTTTGTTGTCCCCCAAGCCGAAGGAGAACCTCAGTGGCAGTCGTTTAAAAATATCGAGGAGATGAAGAAGGATGTGACAAGGGTCCTTGGCTACTTCGCTTCGCTTTGGAACAACAAGTCAGAGGATCCTAATTTGAAGGAGCCTATAGTTTTATGCTTTATTTGGTACTAAAAAAAAGGCCTCTTTAAAAAGTTTCAAACCTTCTGGCATGCACCTCGTATTCTGTCCCTCCATAATTGTGTGTATTTCGTCTGCTATGACATTTTTTCTCTTAGAGTTATGATTATAATATACATGTACATAGAATACTGGTCCACACTATTCAGACATTATGATGAAATTATTTCGTTCACTTTGTTTTCAATGATATAGTCAGCAGTGTATGCCAAAGCCTTACGCCTGTCGAGTTCGGGGATTGGTAGTGGGTCCCTCACCATCGGTCAAATTACCAACCACATGTCAGTCGATCCTGCGACTATAAGCTTAGCTTTGAGTTGGTTCCATTCCTGCTGGTCTATACCATATCAGGTGAGTCTAATATACGAAACCATAGAAATGTCAAACAGATATTTATAAGATATCATATACATCATATATCTATGCGTTTTGCATCTAATGAAAATGCGAGGTATAAATGTAATATTATCAGGTGGGCTGTATCTAATACAGACCACCTTATAATTTTGTTAAAATTGCCTTTATTATTATTTATTTATTTATCAGGTGGGCTGTATATCGTACAGACCATCTTATAATTTCGTTTGAATTGCCTTTATTATTTATTTATTTATTTATTATTAAATATTTTTCTTATTTCTAACCACTTTTTTGATAGCAAGATATTGAAAATGGCTCAATCAAATGCCTTGAAATTTGGCACACATATGTAAAGGCATATGTACAACGCACCATAACGTTTTCAACATTGACCTTTACTGATGACGTCATCTAGGCGCCATTTTGTAAAATTTTACGAAAATCAACTCATGATCATATCTTCATAACCACAAGGTATTCCTCATTCATATTTATCATGATCAAGGTCAATATCAGTCCAGTTAGTTTCAGGTCAAAAAAACGTGCGCGTGCGCGTGCGCGTACGTCCGCGCGTTAGTGCGCGCGCAAATTTTTTAAATGCTCGAAATCGTCTCAAATTTATTTTGCATACGTTTCAGGTCATTTTAAGCATTTTATAAAAAATCGCGCACACGCGCGCGTTTTCGCGCGTAACACCATTACACAATATAGAATCGCCTTTTTTTTTTTCATGACATTTCTCATATTTATTCAAGGAATTTGATACCATGTTTATCTCTTTATGGCCATTAATAACAAGATGAGCGTCCATTCAAGATAAACGTCCGTGCGCGCGAGCTCCTTTAATACATAGCATTTATAGACAAAAACATGCCTATACAAAATCCATTATAGCTCTTTGGAATGAACCGACCTTCAATTTTTTTCATATTTAGATAGAGTATGAGTCAAAGATATTATTCCATGTCTCATTTGGCCATTAAGTGTATCGTGACATCATCATTATGGCCTTCGAACTATAAATAGGAATTTGCATATTATGACGTCAGCATATTTATGGAAAATTGATTGTATCTCTGTATATATATTGATCGATTTTCTTCAAAATTTCGATATGTTGTAGCTACGATAATTCTCTACAAGTTTAATAACAACCATTTTTCATTTTGATGACGTCATCAGAGTGAAAATTTTTATTAAAGGCCTCATGTCAGAAATTTCATAATTTGCGTGTTATGACTATAGAAGGTGAATTTCGCTCACGTAATGAATCTACATGATAGTCGCGGAAGAGGTTTACAGTACACCATGTGTAAAGTCCTCGAAGGACTAAGGAAAGTAGATAGAAAATAGAAGTGAGATGGAAAGGCGAGAAAGTGGAGGTTGGAAGGAAGAGTATATATTATTACTATTTTTATCCTTTAAGAGTAGCCTTCAGATTGGTTGCCCTCGATGGACCTAAAAAGATATAACATATCATGATATTCATTCTTGAGAATTTCATTATGTGACAAAGGGTATAAGTTTTGAAAATTATCTACTGTATTTCAGCGCCGGTCGTCATAAAAAGATATTTTAAGTGTCAAGTTTGCAAGTCTACTATTTCCACTTTATCGAAGATAACATAATTGAACATAATGAACATGGTAATAATTATAACTAAAAATACAATATAGAAACATAATGTACGTGGTAATAGTTATAACAAAAGATATAATCATCAGTATGATAAATACATTGTATAAGCTACATAAAGTAGGGGATCTACTAAAAAGCAAAGCTTTTGTTATGTAGGACCCAGTTAATAGGTCTGTATACAAATTAGGGTATCTGAATAAACATAAGATGTTTACAAAAGCATAGGATTATACGAGGGTTATCTTAAAGTGACATATTTTACTAAACATAGCGTAAACAATTGAAGAAAAAAGGGGAGAGTTATGTGCTTTCCTCAGCATAACCATATTTAAAGGTATAGACCTGGTCATGCGATTACATTGTGAAAGAAACGTTGTGGAATCGATCAGAGAAGGTTGATCATCTAGCATATAAGCATTGGTGTGTATTGCAAGGTTGTGGAATCATCAAAATTATAAGAAATTTGGACCAGTCTTGGTAAAGGTACAAGCACTGTATATAGAAAGATGTATATGGGAATACGCGATATCTATCCAGTCCGGATAGATATGATAACTTACCAAATGTATCAATTAGTAGGCCGTTTCCCGGCAAAATTTGTAACATCACGTGTTAGTCAAAACATTTATTTCCCATGATTGGTAATAAGAACTTCCATTTCATTTTTTGAGAGGGGGCATTTCCAAAACTGGTCTATACCTTTAAGAGAGAAGTTCACCTTTTGGAAGTAATGCTTTATAAAAGGCTGCAAATGAACAATGGTGTTATGTTGTCACGTATCATTTGAACTTTTGAACTTTTCTGTTGAGCAGGTTGTTATATACATGATCATTCTCTACTGTGAACTTGGAGTGTCAGCTCTGGTTAGCTGCGTCATACTTCCACTGTCTATACCTGTTCAGATCTACATTGCTAATAGACAATTATTGTACCAAAAGGAGGCTATGGTAAGTTTAATTCATGTGAAAAACGAATCCCTAAATCTTCCCTTATTTATCTCTCAATATTAATTATACTGTCAATTGCTCTAAGGGCTTTTTAATTATGTTGTTGCTAGTTGGTAAGTTGGTAAGCTAGGTAATAAGTAGGGGCTATTTAGTTGATTTGTATCGCTTTATCATTGTTTAGTAAGTAAGTTAATGGAAAAGGTCCTCGCCCCTGTTTATTCGTCATGCGAGGTCCTACAGATCGAGAAACATTATAGGTGGAAACTATCATCTTTCGGGTTATTCCATGGAAACCTTCCCATTACCCTATCGAAATGTTGCTCTCCCCCCCCCCCCCCCCCTCAGTCATCCAAGGAGAAATCCTTTTCTTTCTCAATTGCTAACATGGCTACTGTTCTCAAACTGGTTGTTTTGTTATGATTGATGTTCATTCTAGAAACTGTCAGATGAACGGTTAAAGCAGACTAACGAGGTACTGCAAGAAATGAAAGTCGTCAAATTAAACGCTTGGGAGAGAATATTTCAACAGGCTATCGAGGTCACAAGAAACAAAGAAGTCGGTAAACAAAAGGTTCAAATGTTCTGGCGTGTCCAGCTAAGTAAGTACTGTTTTATAGCATTGCAGGGAATATTCCAGGGAAATTTAACGATAACAATTGTCTGAACATTGGTCAAATATTTAATAAAATTCGATAAACTTCGCAACACCATGTTTCATAAAAGACAAGTATTGTCAATGGCCTTTCAGAATGAGAGTGTTATATAGAAGGTAGAATTGTATGTATTAATGTTTAATGCAAAAGTATTAATTGATTTATTCACGTATTTTTACCTAATTATCTTTTTCTTTTCCTGATGCAATCATTTATCATTATCATTGCTAGCCTAATCATTTTCGATGGTATTTTTCATGGTATTTTTGATATGATTATCTCTATCACTTGGTGTTGTAATTATTACTAGCACAGAAATTGGTATGGAATATTTCTTTTCTTTTCTTTTCTTTCAGATTCCCTGGCCAATGCAGTCCCACTTCTTGTTATGCTTGTAGTAAGTATAACAAATAAGTTTAATGTAGCAACAACTAAACGTAATCAGAATCAATTTTGTAGAGAGACACTTCGTCTGTATAAGGTGAATTCTCAGACCAAGAAAAGCTCAATCTGATCAAATGGATTTGTGGAACTTTGGAATATGATATAGAAATTTGTGGTGGTGCTTTGTTAGTCATGTAAATTTATCCAATATAATATTTCATATGATGACGTAATTGGAAATTTGATCCTTTGAATCTGGAGTCCTCATCTGATTTGATTTAAATAATCGAACATTAACCAATCCTTTGATTTTCAATGACCTGGATATCACCGATCATTCCACTTTTACACTAAATATCAAATCAATATTTGGAATGGTGGATTTAACATTTTGCATCATACATTATTTTTCTTTTCTTTTCTCACTCCCAGGCGCTTTAAAAAATGTTTTTAAAACTTGAGTTCTTCGAGTATAAATTTTTTTCTTCCTGTTTTGGACTGATTTAGGCTCTAAGCCTGTACAGTGTATTCTCCGGCAAGAGCCTGACTCCTGACTTAGCCTTCACATCATTAGCAGTCGTCAACCAGTTTCAGCTTCATCTACAGTTACTACCAAGAGTGTCGTCATTCTTTATCATGGCTTTCGTCAGTAAACGTCGACTAGAAAAGTTCTTCAAAGCTCCCGAGATCGAATGCAATTCATTGAAGGGCGGTGAAACGAATGAGGACAACGATGATAAAGAAAAGAAGAAAGTATGATAAGAAATTGTGTGATCTTTGATAAAATTGCCAATACATACTCCTTTTTGCAAACGGTACATTGTATATTTTTCCGTTATGCCTTATTTTATATTACCATTTGATGATTTGGTGTCTCGTCTTTATGTTTGTTTTAAGTTAAAATCTGAATATAAAGTTGATAGCTAAATTATTCATACCCTTAATAAGTTTTGTAAGTTTTGTATGTGAAAAATGGATTTTGCCGATGTGTTTCTTGATAATGTGACATATCAAAGCTTACATCCAAAAAGTATTCAACAAAGGCCCACATTCAAACAGTCTACCTTTTATTCTTGAGTTACGGGAAAAAACACTTCAAATTTACAGGGTATGAATAATTAATTTGTTAACTGTATGCTGTTAACATGACGTCATGGAAGGCCATTTTTAAAGATAATTAACCATCCTGTACAATTATCAAAAATATATAAATAAATGAATACAGAAATATTTTACGGGCAGGGTGATCGAATTATGAAAGGACTTGGGTGCATTATGATAATATGGTCATGTCGCCTCGATTTTTGATCAGAGAATTTAAAAAATGCTAACGTTCATACGGACTCTGATTGAAATCGAAATTGACATTAACATCGATATTAATTGATATTGTTTTCTGGTAGGATTGATAAATGACAGTGATAAAGAAGCTGCTGTTCTTTTTTCTTCATACACGAACATGCTTCTTCCGTATTTAGTATCTTCATCATCATCTTCTTTATTTCAGCACCGACTTATAACTGAATATAAACATCACTTTGACATGCAATTTTATGATGTATTAATGTATCCTCCGACGCCTCCATCCCGGGCCGCCCACCCCCTTTTTTTTTGGTTCTATTTATGTGTAGAAACTCACCAATGCCAGTGCTTTGATCCAAAAACTGAAGAGAGGGTATGATAAGAAATATGGATCAATTCCATACTCAACGTTGTCAAACGATCATATTGAATCTCAAACGCAATCTATTCCTATGGCGAACATGAATGCTGAAACAGTTCCATCGGGCATTGCATTGAAGGTATGTAATATCACTCGCCATTTATGATAAGTAACAAGGTGATCATCATTGCACGGAAATATAATGCAGCAACTTGATCTAAGTCTAAACATTTTTCACTAATCATTGAAATGAAAGATGTTCTCCTTATCACCCTAAGACACATTGGATAATTAAAACAAAACACAGAATAAAAAACATCCTTTTCCATTTAGATTACGATTTCTTTCCATTTACATCTGATAGAGCATGTATAGGCTATTTATATTTCATTATATTCATTTACTTTGCAAATCAGGGAATTTTTACAAATCGTTGGTTTTATAACTTACAAAGACTATAATAGTGAGATAAACAATACATTGGATAATGAAAGAAAAGACAAAAAATATAGAAATAAATTGTGTAATCTGTTAAAGCATGCAAAAAAATCATACTTTTCTCACATTTTAAAGTTATATAAAAATAATACTAAACAGACTTGGTCAGTTAAAAACTCATTACTAAATAAGCCTACAAAATATTTACCTGAATACTTTTTTAATGGAACTGAGAAAGTTTGTGATCCCCACAACATATAGCAACTGAATTTAATCAACATGTTATGAACTGTTGTAGACGGATAACCACATCGATGGTCAGTTCTTCTAACAATACTTCTTTTAAGGATCATCTGACTGGTTTTATCAACAGTTTTTTGTTTTTGTAATCCTATAACAGAAAATGAAGTTTTATAGATTTAATAGTAGTTCACTACACAACAGTAATTCAGTTGGATTTGATAATCTTAGTACTAACTTAATGAAAAAATTATATTTTATATTGTTCAGCCAGTAGTATTTATATTTAATCTCTCTCTTTCTATAGACTTAGTCCCAGATAAACTAAAAATAGCTTAAAAAAAAAGCCCCCGTATTTAAAAAAAGATGATCCTCATAAATTTGATAATTATAGGCCAATATCTATTCTGCCGTATATCAAAGTTGTTAGAAAAATGTATCTATAACCGATTATATTCATTTTGTTTTAAAAATAAAATTCTTACAGATTCACAATGTGGCTTCAGGAAAAATTACTCTACTACACATACTTTGATAGAATTACAAGATAAAGTATTGTCAGCAATTCATACCAATACATTTTACATTGGAATTTTCATGGACCTTTCTAAAGCCTATGATATTGTTAATCATAGAATACTTTAATCCAAATTAGAACACTATGGGATTCGGGGCTTACCACTATCTTGGTTTGAAAGTTATCCTTCTAATAGATCTCAATATGTAGTTTATAATAACAGTTCCTCAAATGTTTCTTCTATTACACACGGCGTACCACAATGTTCTATCCTAGGTCCTCTACTGTTTTCAATTTACATTAATGATCTTACACATTCTTCTGACAAATTTAATTACATTATGTACGCTGACGATACTACTTTAATTTACATCCAACCTAACACTCATAACTTAAAAAATAATATCAATACTGAATTAGACATAGTAACAAAATGGTTCAAATCAAATAGATGGTTAATAAATCCTAGTAAAAAAATTACTTTCTTCCATAAGTCAAATTTCACTAATTCGCTTGATAATTTTTTAATAAAAATAAATTATGTTCAATTAAATAAGGTTAAAATTGTTAATTTTCTTGGTGTTTTTATTAATTTCAATATGCAATAGGACACTCATGTCAATAAATTCACTCAAAAGGTATCTAAATGTATTGGTATATTATACAGATTAAAATACTTGCTTCCACCTTCAGCATTATTACTACTTTATAATTCATTAATGCTCTCATATTTAAATTATTGTGTTGCTGTTTGGGTTAATTGTAGTCGAATTAAATTAGATAAATTATTTAAATTGCAAAAAAAAAAGCCCTTCGCATATGCCTTGGATGTCATTATTGTGCCCATTCTGCCCCACTGTTTAGAAAATTGAAAAATCGTAATATTTTTGTACTGTACTATTACTCAATTGCACTTTTTGGTTTCTTTTACTTTCAAAATAAATTACCTGTTAATATTTTTCAGATGTTCACTCTTAATTACCAAACACATAATCACAAAACCCGTTTTAAGGATTTTTGTCACTTATGGCCAGTAAAAACAAAAAAAGGTTATGAAATCAGTACGACATAATTTCCCTGTGAATTGGAACTCCATCCCCAAAGATGTTTTTGATTGCAAGTCAGTTAATTCCTTCAAAAAAATTGAAGCAGTTTCGTTATCTCAAACATGTATAGTTATTTATCTTATGTTTATATTTGGGATATATGTTTTTTGTTTCTTTTTTATTAATGTTTTTTTCTTATCTTTGTGCTCGTTTATCTTTGCTTTACATTATGCTATGAATGCTTTGGGAACTATGCTTATTTATGTAGTTCCCCATTTCATTTTCTAAATTTTTTTATAAATAATTTTGTATTTTGTATCAATGTTATTTTTAATCGAGAATTAAATAAATGCAAATTAAATTAAATTGAATTGAAAATACATTTTTGTTATATTGATGTAAACAGATCAAAAACGGTTCATTTTCATGGAACCGTGAGCCCAGAACACCCATAATATCCGATGTGAATATTGACATACCGGCAGGCAAGTACTTTCACTTTTCATATATGTGATAATGGTTCTTCCAATGTGCATATAATTATATTAATTGAGCACACAATGTCCTATATTCTAGCAGATATCCACCAGACTCTGAGGCTCACGATACGGGATTCGAATCACTTCAACGGCACTATAGCGTATTTTAGCAAGTAATGAGTCTATGTTTATCAATCGTCACCCAGGTGAAGGAAATAGGTAACCGGTAGAGATAGTATCATTGAAAATAAAGCCAGGATGATAATATGATTGCAGGGCCCTCAAGGAGAGCAGTGTCTATACTGATGATGCGACCCTGGGTACGTTCATTGTGAGATGTCTTTGGAATGTTGCCAGACAAAAGCAGACATTAAGTTTATTTGAATAATCATCTAAAATGAGTCAACGTCCGATAAACAAACTCTTAAGAAATATATTCCCTATTGCATCAGCTAAACGCGCTTTTCATTAAATTGTATTTTTTCGTTTTGTTCACACAGTTATTGTTGAGTAATTGCTGCAATGAGATGTATTTGTTATTGTTTCAATGTTTATTGGCTTGATTGTTTCATATTTTGATGAGGTAACCATGGCCATTGTATCATTACAGGTCGACTTACAATGATTGTTGGTAAGATTGGAGCAGGTAAATCTTCTCTCTTGTCGGCCATGTTGGATGAGATGATCACGTTGGATGGTGTAGTCAAACATCACAGGTACAATCATTCATAAAATATTCTAGTGTTAAGCCAAGTTTACGCTTTATTCATAAGTTCAGATGAGAAAATCCTAATTTTTAGAACTTTTGATGTATACTGTCATATATTCATCCCATTTTCTCTTACTTTTAGACATTGTAAAATTGTAATATTCGAGCTCTTTCCTAGCCCGAGACGAGTATCATTTTCTTTCCATTTTAGGTTGTTCAGCTGATACCTAAAAATTCCAGTGTAAAAGTAATATGAGTCTCTAACTTTCAGAAAAATCGTTTGTATGAAATATAGGGTTGGTGTGTTTTCCCCTTCGCTAAGATTCCATAAGTTGAGTATGGTAAACAAAATATTTGAGTGTCCGGTTTCACCATACTCATTTTCCCCAATAGACTGTAGTGATAGGAAAACGAAAATTGAAATTTCGATTTCCAATCATAAATATCTTGATAATCAGACAGAATTTTGTTTCAGAATCTGAGGCAATGTTACCGAGTCACTTTAAGAAGAATTTGGGGATTATCATGAGTGAAGTATACAAATACAACGCATCAGTGAGGGCATTAGTAAGAATCTAAACGCCCTCGGCTATCGCCCTGGGGCGTGTTAGACTGTTCCAAAGGTACCTCGTGTGGGTAGTTTTAATAATGCCCGAAAAAATGGTGTGTGTTATTTGTTTTATAAGATTATGTTTTATTTCATTTTTGTAATGTTTTATAACATGATTTTGATAATGACCGTTCATTACCATTAGATAATGACCGGTTATTATCCAAATTACACGTTAGGCAAAATAAATGCCAGGTCACTTGTACGCTTTCAACCAATCATTTGATTAGGATCCACGTCATCATCTTATAAAGTATGCTAGTATAATCTGCAAAAATATTTTTTTCTTGAAGAAAAAAATTGTATTCTCGTTTGTTGTTTGATTAATCTTTCAAGCAAAATGATCGGAGTTGCATATGCAGCACAGACAGCGTGGCTGATCAACGCTAGCCTGAAGGATAATATCGTATTCGGAAACACCTTTAGCCAGAAAAGGTAACCACATAATTCTTCTTGCATGCCCCCTACCCCCCCCCCCCCTCTCTCTCTCTCTCTCTCTCTCTCTCTCTCTCTCTATCTCTCCACTCCCTCTCTCCTCTCTCTCTCTCTATGTCTTTTTTTAAAAAGGTTAAATACAAAAAATGTAGATTCAGATTTAAATTGGACCAAAAAAGAGGAAGGAAGCAAAGGGTATGTGATGACCTTCTTTTAAAAGAAAAAAAAGGATTGGGCGAAAGAAGTTTTCAGAATTGGAAATATAATTGCCTGGTTAGATGAAATTGAAGACAATGGATAAACTGAAAAAAATTATCATGCCTATTATCGTTTAGGGACTTGTTCACCTAATATAAAAGAAATAGAAAATGATTTCTTTCCCATCTTGTCTCATAGACACATCTGTTGCAACCGACGGTTGGGAAAAATTAGCTCACAGGGTCAATAATAGGTAGTGGATCAAATATTGCATAGTACCCGTAGGAAGAAAATGTAAAACTATTAACAAAGTAATGTCGCTTCTTTGCGGATGAAGTAAGTGAGAAGAAACTCTTGATCTATATAAAGTAATAAGGCCTTAGAACCGAGTAGAGAAACAAGCAGAGAAGTAAGACATGAATTATGATGAAACTGAATTAGCTTTGGCGTAGACTTTAAACTCTCTCTAAAAGACGTGTGTTAATAAGAACAGCTCAGGAGGAGTGATGAATGTAGGTGTGGCAAGCAAGTGTAATATGCATGCTATACCAATCACATAGGATGTGGAATGTGCTTGCCAGAATAACTGCAAATCCCAATACAACAGGGTTTAGAAATTGTGCTTGCCAGAGAAAGTATGTGTGGCACCTTTAATAATGTTACAGGTGTCATTCAAGAAATGAGTGACAATTGAATAAAAGGCCGGACTTCAAGCCACACAATAAAGACAAGACAATAATATTTACAATTTATCTTCTGAGGTCAAGTCACTACAATCACTTTTGAATTCGTTCCAGCTTGTTCAGCACACAAAACCTTGTTTAGTTTACGTGTTAACATTTCATTTAACACCAATGTAAACTAGATTTGTGCATAATATACAGGCAATAATCTTGATTTATTAGTCTTGTATCCCATTATCCCACCCCCCCCCCCCCCTCCGCAGATATAAAACAATATTGGAAGCATGTTGTTTACAACCTGATATTGATATCCTCCCTATGGGAGACCAAACGGAGATTGGTGAGAAGGGTATCAACCTTAGCGGAGGTCAGAAGCAACGCATCAGTGTAGCCAGGGCCATGTATAGCTCAAATGATGTCGTCCTTTTGGTAAGTAATCAGCAAATTCATCACGGAAATAATCATGCATATTTATAAGAATCTGATTTAATTAATCGTGGTTTAGTCAAGGTTATTTTTGACTTCTTTGTGCATCGGAGCCAGAGTCTTCATGATAGTTAAATTTTCAAATATAGGATTCATCCCTTAAAATTGATTCATATCTGATTATAAATAGAAATAGAATGACTTGAGATAATAATAATGAGTCAGCGGAAAGGTTATTGGAAATGAACAAACAAGGAACCTTCATCTCACTCTCTCTCTCTCTATCTCTCTCTCTCTCTCTCTCTCTCTCTCTCTCTCTCTCTCTCTCTCTCTCTCTCTCTCTCTCTCAGGATGATCCACTATCAGCCCTTGATGTGCACGTTGGTAGTCACATATTCTTCAAGGGTATTCTTGATTTCTTGATCGAGGAAAGAAGAACTGTCGTGCTTGTCACACATCAGATCCAATACTTGGAACATGCTGATCAGGTAAGGGGGTCAGGGTCGATCCAGGATTGTATAAGGGGGGAATGGGTACCAGTTTACTTAAATAAAATATCAGAAAAACAAAATGTCTAATTTCCAGGTTCTTCTTGGGTCTAAAGTTGAAACGTATACATTTTTTCTTTAGGTTGTGTTTCAAAAGGAGGCATGGGCATTTTCTAGAATTTCGTCAGTGGTAGGGGTAATCAACTGGTCTTAAGTCTCCGCCACTGGTCCACCAGTCCGTTAGTCCTAAGACTAATTAGGTTGCGCATGTGAGATTACACTCTCAGAACTGAAATGTTAAGTCACCAATTAGAAGGGCCAAGAAGTGATCACTTTTTCAAAATGGTAGATTATCACTTAGAACATGCTTGATCCAACACTTTAAATGTTGAATATGTAGCATGATAGAGTTGTTACTCTGACATTTTGAAGAAAATGGTCACTCCTTGGCCTTTTTATATGGTGATTTAACGTTTTAGTATTTAGATTGTGTAGGCTCAAGTCTTCTTCTTTTTGGAGGGGGGGGGGGTTGTTTCCAATTGTGTATGCTGTTCGAAGTCGCATGTCCCACTGAAAATTTGGGTTAATGTGACAGTTATAATAATGTTGAGGTTTTGTGTTAGAGGTAGGAATCTTTTGACTATACGTCGGACTAACGATGTGACGTGAAACAGTGGTATAGTGCCACAAAGAGTAAACTGAGCTGAACCAATATGTGTATAATGCATCCGCACAGAGGGTTACAACTGAACTCATAATCATCCAAGGGTTACTTGGAGGGATCTCCGTTCTGTAACCTTTGCTTATCAAGTCTGACCTGTATATAGTAAATGGCTTCCGCAAATGATGTAGACCGGCCGGAAAGCGTCAAAACTTTTAAACAATAAATAAATGTGAAAAATAGCCAAACGTTATGTTCAAACATTGATATCAATTTGTTCTAGTTTGTAGAAACAAACAAACACGTATCCTTGGTTCAAATATTATGTTGCAGTATTATTGTTATGATCGTTTTTTATTAAAGAATAAAGATAAGAATGGCACTTACAGTGATTGTGATGATGTTTTCAGGTGGTCTTTCTCAAAAACGGACGTATAGCTAGGAAAGGAACATTGCGAGAGATTGCTAAATTGGATCCTTCCCTCGTAGAGTCTTGGAATCTATCTCTCAAAGCGGCCGATGAAGCAGAATTAGAAGTCGGATACTGCAGTTCAACAGATGAAGAACGAAAATTACTCAAGAAAAAAATATCGAAGATTAAGAAAGGTAAAAATAGATCACCATTAAAAATCCACCAAATAGTCGTCTAAATATTAAAAATGGGTTAAGTCAAAGAGGCTTGACGTTTTCGAATTTGCACCATGATTCTCTTTGGGCACTGCACTGGCTAATAAATATTTAGGAAGTCATTAAATTTATTGTGTACAAAAATTAAGAAATGAGTTTAAAAAAAACAGTTTAAGATGATTAAACAAAAATTATTTTGATGCCTAAATTCACATAAATAAGAAGATGTTATGGGATCGTAACACAGTATGTCACAAGACTCTGGAAATGTCAAATATTTTCCTTATTTTGTCTAGTACCGCCAGTTCAAAGGAAGATGCAGTGTGGATTTGAATTATTCTCTTATTTGTATGGACATTTAGGTCAACGTCCACAAAATGACGACTCTTCAAGCAAATTGATCGAATCGGAGGAGAGGAATAGCGGTTCGATATCCTATCGATACTACTGGTATTATTTATGTCAGTTTGGATTATGTCCAAGCTTCTTCGTATGCATCTTTGCTATACTTCAGAACGTGGCTAAAGCTGGAACACAATTCTGGCTTTCTGCCTGGTCATCGGCTGGTGCCAAGTTACCCAGCAATGCAACAGCTGTAAGTAGGCCTACCCATCCCTATCTGTTTTCTCTTAGGGACATACATATTATTTGTAATATCATTATCATTTCCTTTGATATTGCAACCAATACTTGAGGTTGGATTTCAAATAAAAATACAAATACAAACAGATAGATTAAAATGGTCGAAATAATGCACACAAAGTCGAAGAACAAGTCGGGTCTGTTACATAAATATATTTGTTAAACTGAAATGCTTAAAGATTGATGATATTAACTTCCTCCAAATTGCCATATTTATGTTCCGTTTTAATATCAAATTATTACCTACGTCATTATCTTCAATGTTCCAACCTAATAACATGGTTCATTCGTATTCAACAAGGCAGTCATCGAATTTACATGTGGTCAATCCTCACACTACATTAGCCCAGAAATCAATCAGACACAGAGGTCCAGATGTATGGAATTCTTTACCTAATGATATTCGAAATATAAAATCAACAAACTCCTTTAAAAGAGTACTCAAATGTATTATCATTTCACAGATGTAAGATATTACTTACATTATAATCTATTTATCAGTTCTAATTAAATCTAACATAATTTTCTTACTAGGCTTAACGAAATTCTTTTTTTTTTTTTTTTTTTTTTTAACTTTGTAAATAGTGTAAATAGTTCACTACAAAACTTTAGGAATTTTATTTGTCATATATTATATATTTGAAAGGTGTTTTAACGATTCAAGCTCTATTTGCTTATGTTTCATCACTTTTGTGTGTTCATTCTTCAAACTGTATATAAGTTGCAACTTGTCTTTGATAAAACAATGTTTTATTCTTTTTCTACACCTATTCATCCATGATCCATATAAAATTGAAAATGATTTGTTATATTAGATTAATTTTTCATGTGATGTTAACTTCAATGAATTGTGAAATTGTGAACATGCATAAATAAAATAAAATAAATAAAATATCAATATCAATATCAATGTGCTACAATCAAATTATTACACATTATTAAACAAATTAAAGTAAGCTCATGAGTGCAATATTTCATAATAATTCTCTGTATCTGAAAGTAGCAAGGTAAAATTCATAGCAAACAGCATTAGATTATGGGGGTAATAGGGGGTATTAGATTATGATGTGCCGCGGAGGAGCTCAACCCCTAAGGATTTTTTATTTTGAGATTTATGAATTTAAATAGGACCTTTAATGTAAGCTCATAGCAGATTTTTTTTCTATGAGAAATAAATTCTCAAACGAAATCCGTGAAACCAACCATTAAAAACTTGACAGTTTTGGGAGCCCCATCCACCCCCCCCCCCCCCCCAAGGTAAATACGCCAGATTTTTTTTAATCTAGATAGTGGTAATTTGACATCACTTGTTTCCTTTGTTTGCAGGAAGATTGCAATGCTTTGCTGATGGAATATGTCGGTGTATACTGTGCTCTAAATGCTGCTGATATGGTCCTGTGTGTGGTATGGACAATGATTCTACTTTTTCAGAGTGTCCAAGCCTCAACGAATCTACATAATTTAATGCTAAATCGAATACTGAGAGCACCAATGAGGTGAGTACTTTAATTTAATAGAAAGATCTAACTCCCTTTGACCATTAATTCCTCTCTTTTGTCATACCAGTATAAGTACGAGATGACCACTTACGATCAGCAGCGGGGGGAGGGGCGGAGGGGCGCATGCCTCCTGTGCCCCCCCCCCCAAAAAAAAAACAACAACAACAACAACAACAAACACACACACGTTACATGATAACGTAAAGGGTTTTTTTTAGTAGAAGAGGAAGTGAAGGAAGAGGCAGAGGATCGTGAAAAGGAGATGATAAGACCTCCTCACACACCCTTATCATACGTAGTATGCCCTCCGAGGAGATAGTGCAAAGTAAACTTCAAACACACAGACGAACGAAAATCTGTTGCGCGATTTGAATCAGCCATTATATAAATCATAAAGCTTGATGGTTGACTCCCCAAATAAAGTACGTCTGGGAATGGTTAATGTAAATTACATGGGAATCTGTACAGCATGTGAAATCAGGGGCAGATCCAGCCGACGACAAGAAGGGTGGGGGCCAAATCTTGAGAAAAAATTTAGCACCGACTCAGCCGGCCGTTAAATAAGCGCGGGGGAGGGGGGGGGGGGGGGTAAGAGCACATGTTTGTTTTTTGTACAGTTTTTGAGGAAAAATTTAGCGCCGACTCAGCCGGCCGGTGGGGGGGGGGGGGTAAGAGCACATTTTTTTTTAATTATTTTGTATTTCTTTATTTCTTTATTTCTTTATTTTTTATTTTTTTATTTATTTATATTTATTTTTTTTATTTATTTATTTATTTATTTATTTATTTATTTATTTATTTATTTTTTTTTTTTTGGGGGGGGGGGGCCATCCAGCCGGTAAATACGCAGAAGGAGGGTGGTGATGGAAAGGAGAACCACTAATTTGGTTTTGGTGTTGGCGAAAATATTATTTTTTGGGGGGAGGGGGGCCCGCTTTTGTTTTTTTGTTTTAAAGACGGTTACATTTACGTTATTATCCTATTTTTCTAAGCAGTCTGGGGGGCTGGGGTGGGGGGCCCAGGCCGAAAAAATCGCAACGTAGATTCGCGCCTGTGTGAAATAATTTTTAAAAATACTACAGTGTGTTCTTAAGTTTGTGCATTTTATTTGTCAATGTGGCAATATACATGCAGATTTATTTACATATTCACATTTTACGGTATATCTCTGATTCAAAGACAGCATTTATGTTACAGCAACAGTCTAACAAATTATTTCATTATCTTGTAGATTTTTTGACACGACCCCGATTGGACGAATCATGAACCGCTTTGCTTCTGACATGCAGAGACTTGATCAGGTATGCAATGCACTCAGTACAAGCAGCCAATGCAAACTGTTGTCAAGAGTAACGATTTCCTTTCTTTTGCGAACAATGCCTAGTATAATGTCTAAAAACATAATTTATTTTCATCTTACAATTGTTGAAACATATTTAGATTTCAAAATCAAAGGACATATTTTTCCTCCTTATAAACATAAAAAATATTACATTTTTTGTTTACAATTTAAAAAAATGGCGGAAAGAGGCGACAATTTGTGAAAGCACAACGCTTGTAATTTGGACAATACATAATACATACATTTGGTTATAGTACAAAATGTACTTGTATACATTTTTTCTTTAATTCACTGATTGAATGCCATTTTTATCGCATTTTTGTATCGCACAGTGTTTAGATGATCGTACAGAGAGGGCGATGGACGCAAAACTTTATCAGGGTTTAAAAAATATGTATATATTAAGAATATGTAGAAAATAAAGGAGAAGAAAAAATTGCCGAATGACATGAGAAGAATACATTTTTCAATTTTCTTTTTCTGTTGTAGACCCAAGGTCTATTCATCTTGGCTGTATTAAAGTTCTTCTTAGCGACCATGACTGGAGTGATAATTAATGCAATCATCTCCTGGTATTTCATTGTGGCTATGATCCCCATCAGCCTGGCTTACATGTTCATTATGAAAATCTTTATTGATAGCTCAAGGTAAGTGGGAAAATTGGCGTGTATCATATTGATTGTCGCGTAGCAGTTTTGGAATAGGGTTTGTTTATAAAGCTTGGTAAAAAAAATTAAGGTATTGCTTTAAATTTCGGTCATTTCCTTTCGATTCCATAATTTATTTTTGAGTACTAAATTTATCGAAACGAAAAAATGGGTTAACAAGAATCATTTGTAATTACGTATATATTATCTACATGAGATGCCCTTTTACCCTCAAACTCACTGGCCTGAATTCACAAAGGAGATTTGTCGACAAACCGAGGTTTATGTACGTCATATGACGCGTTTTGACGCTTTTTTTTACAAACCTGGTTTTGTAAAAACGTGTCGAACGCGTCATATGGCGCACGAAAACCGATTATGTTAAATTTGGTTCATTGAATGAAAAAAAAAAACACTTTCTAAAACAAACAAAAAAGGCCCGGGTCAATGGACTCAATTGGTGGCAGGAGATACAGATAGCTCAAGTTTTTTAACTGATGCTGGGTTTTCATAACTTTTACATAATGATTTAGCGTTTTGATCATGAAATACATGTACCTCTTCTTGTCACAACGGTGGGTAATGATTCTATACATGCATAGTAAGCATGTGTGTTGTTTCGACAAGGGTTCATTTTTTTGTTAACCAGAGATAGATGCATTATATAGAGAAAGTAGTAGTAGTAGTAGTAGCAGTTCCGATAGTAGTAAGTAGTTGTGGTAGTAGTGGTAGTGGTGGCGGCAGTAGTACATGTAGTAGTAATAGTAGTAGTATATATAGAAAACCTAAAGCTTGCAAGTATATAGTAGTAGTGGTAGTAGTGGTAGTAGTGGTAGTAGTGGTAGTAGAAGTAGTAGTAGTAATATATAAGTAGCTTCATTATCATATGTATATTTTACAATAGGATACAATAGGAATACACATGCATAATCGCTAATTGGTTGTTGGTTTTTATATGTAGAATGACACATTAAAAAATGTTGACCTAACGAATGGGTTATAATCATAAAGACATCAAACTTTGAATGTTTTGTTTTCAAATGAATAACACAGGGAAATGCAACGGTTGGTGAGTATTTCCTCCTCACCCGTCTTCTCCCAGTTTACTGAGTCGCTTGGAGGATTGACTACCATACGGGCCTACAGGTAATTGACTTACATCACTAGACTTTTGTTTTAATTAGAAGATTTGTTTAGGTTTTCACCAGATGTATGCATACCAGTGTAAATATAATCAAGACAATACATACGAAACGTTCATGTTCTTGCATATTGTGTTAACAAATGTTCAATCGTCTAAACTGTGTTAAAATAAATGTGCCATTTCTTTCTCTTGTTCATTCTGCTTCCCATTCATAGTATCATTTCTTACTTATGTGTAAGGCGTTAATTGAGGGAATTGTTTTTTAAATTCTTTGTAAAGACTTCAGAAAAGATTCAGGCAGAATATCGTTGGTAAAATCGAGAGAAACCACGTGGCTTACTGCTTTCTTCAAGTTAGTACGCGATGGCTGGGGATCCGATTGGTATGTATCATTTTCCATTCCGAATTCCAACTTTTATGATGGTGCTAATTATGAATCTGATCTTTGTGTAATCGTGACGATGGATATAGCCTATATGTCCCATGTACAAAATTGAACTTGACATTGAAAATAACAGTAATAAAATGCCTGTTATAAGCTATAAAGTTGCTCTACAGAAATTCGTCATGAGTTTATAACAGCTTGAAAGGGGTGGCTAAAGTAGTTTAGAAAGGTATTTGGTAAAGGTTGCAAATCATTTTAGCTAATGCGAGGGTGAAATAATGATCTTTAGCAAAAAGACAAAATTTAGTCTATTCGTATTAACTTGGCTGCGTTCCGGAAGGCAGGGAGCAATTCTAAATAAATACAATCTAGTCTCGTGAAACATAAAATAAAGTAATATTTGTATCAAATCTGTTATTAATAAATCTGGATATCCAATTACAGAAAGAATACCAAGTGCATAACACCTTAATGAAATATGATATAACGTCAAATTTCATTTTTGTGAGTTCTTTTTTACTTTCCCCTCAAAACTTTCAGATTGGATTAAAAGCCGATTATTGTCTTTGGCATGTGTGATCCTGCTTGTATTGTCCTGAACGTCTTGATATAAATGATTGTACTGAAGGGGGCTGCACTATAGAAAAATGGAGTTAAATTATCTGATGATTGTAAATTATAGTCATGTTTTCCTTGTAACATCAATGTCTTATTAACATTATTATCATTCATATCTTACTCTTTGTTATAAAGGATGTGATAGGAGCCCTGATTGTTCTAGCAGCTGGACTGACTAGTCTTGCTGCCTCGGCTCTTCATCCAGCTACTTTTGGCGCTAGTCTTGTTGGTTTGGCAATAACATATGCAGTCAAGGTAAATATAAATTTCACATTTTGTTAACTATTTCTGGAAACTTAATATCGCGAAGTAATGCTGGAAGAGAATAAGTAGCAATGTGATTAAGACTTTGCAACGTAATTTTAATTAAGACGGTTGAAAAAAGAAGGAGATGGTCATAATCAAAGGAAATGAGAAACGTAAAAGAAAAATAGAGAGACCGAGATAGAGAGAGAGAGAGAGAGAGAGAGAGAGGGGTAGGACCATTTATCAAATTCAATAAAATGTGTAAATAAGGAATCTCTGAAATTTGCAACATCAAAATGCAAACCAGTATTTAATCAGCTTTCCAGGATTACATGATATTTGATTTTCTTCCTAAGGCTGCATATTCCCTGGCATGGGTTGTTCGTAATTCAACCTGTGTCGAGTTGGGCATGAATTCTGTAGAGAGGATCGAGTACTATACCAAGGTAGAGAACGAGAAATATGAAGGTAACTCATCATGCATAATTAAGTTTGGTCATGTAGGCTAATATCTTCCTTTAAGATATATCACAATATAACTAGACAAGAATTTGTCATTTGAATGAGGTGATGCCTATTCTAATGTTTTTAATAAAGAACGCATTTTCACGATTTTTTTTTTTAATTAAAAAAATTGACCCTCCGGGAATCGAACCTGGGTCGCCAGGACCAATATACCACATAGACATTAGACGTTAACGAAAAATGCGATCTCAAATCACATCTTTTAGTTAAGATAAGGCCATGATCCCAACATCTGATTAAATAATAAATGTTACTTTCGGTGCAGAGAATTTTCTCAGCTACAACAAATCAGAAGCTGGCAGAAAATCGAGCGAATTTTTGTTTGGAGATTTTGCTCAAACAAGACTGGAATGTAGAATTTCAGAAAAAGTCACCTCATATAAATAATACACGCAAAATTGGGAAAATTGACATGCCTCCATTAATCGAAAGAATGGGCCATGATGCCATTGTTAAAATGAGAAATAAATGTCGCCTGCTGCGTACAGAATCGTCTCAGGGATTGGGAGAGATATGATCAAAATTTACAGAGATACACTTAATTTCCCATAAATATGCTGACGTCATAATATGCAAATTCGTATTTGAGTCTCGTGGCGATTATGATGACGTCACGTTGTACTCAATGGCCAAATAAGACATGAAATCATATCTCCGACTCATACTCTATCCAAATATGAAGAAAAAAATGAGGGTCCCCGAGCATCCCAAAGAGCTCTAATGGATTTTTGAAAGGCATGTTTTTGCCCATATATGCTATGTATTACAAGATCTCACGCGCACGGACATTTATCTTGAACGGACGCTCATTCCGTTATGCCCGCGTCACCCTGTCCCGAAGTTGACATAAGATGGACACACAATGAAGGAAAATTCCAAATTCGGCTCTGATCGTAAAAACATCGGGCCATATCGGGCCATTCGTGAGGGCATCTGAAACAATCGTGTGGCCGCCGGTGGATTTTTCAGACTCCGGCAGCAACTTCGTGAGCGGTGGCAAAATCTTTGGCGTGCCAAAAAATTGCCCGAAGACCTTGCGATGGTTCACTTTCGTGTTGCATTCGTGTGTCCATTTTTCCCTTCGTAAGGCCATCGTGAGGGCATCTTGTCAAATCGTGTCATCTTCGTAATTACTTCGTGTGATCATCGGTGCCATCGGGCATTATCACCTCACGAAGTCGATACGAAGGAAACAAGAAGCTGCCCGATTGTCTTCGGCTACGTAAAACCCTCGCAATGCCATCGTGTAGCCATCGTGTAGCCATCGTATTATAGTACGATGACATCCAGATGGGACCACGGTGTCGGCGAAGACAACCGAATTTAAGTAGCTCAAGCGTTTCCCATGTGTCATGATAACGTGGACATGTTTCAATAAGCTATATTTCTCGTATATTTCTCATATCTATACTGATTTGTTTTTCAGATTTAATATATCATGTTATGCCATGTTTTATATTACATTATGTGTTTTTAATTTTGTTTGTAAACTTGTGTAATTCGGCTAAACGCCGCGATGAAAGTTTTATTTGAAATAAACCATTTTAAATGAATGAAAAAATGAATATAAAAAGCCAGCCTCATAGCCAGAGGCTTTTTCAAGTACCTCAAAAGTGCCCTTTCTTACGTAGAAAAAGTGCCCCTATAACTTCGTAAGAAGTGCTTTTTTTACAGAGCAAAAGGGCCCATTTTACCTTAAAAAGTGCCCATTCCACTTTTGACAAGTGCTCCCTTCACCCCTGATAATTACCCTATTCAAATTTGAGGCACTTTACTTTTACTTCTTTTACTTTCACCAGTGCCTCCTTTACTTTGTAGGAAGTGCCCCTCCCCTTTTAATAACTACCCACTTTAACTCCCATAAGCACACCTTTTATTTCCACGTGTGCCCCTTTTCCAATCTAATTATTAAGTGCCCCCTTTTCCCATTAGAACAAAAGAGCTCCTTCCCCTTTTCTTAAATGCCCCCTTTTTACCTATTAAAAGTGTCCCATTAAATTCTCATAAGTACCCCTTTTCATATTTAGTCAGTGCCTCTTTTCAGGGGCGATAAATGCCCCTTTACACCTCTGACAATTTCCTTGTTAACAATGATACGTGCCCCTTTTCCTTTCTAATAAGGGACCTATCCCCTTTTCATTAATTCTCATTTTCAACTCTTATGAATGCCTCTATCAAAATCTGATGGACGCCCCAATTCCGTCGACAAATTCCCATTTACCATTCTCATAAGTGCCTTTTTAATAAGTGTCTTATCCTTTTCGATAAGTGTTCCCTTTTCTTCTCTTTTTAAACGTGCTCCTTATTTAAAGTGAATATTAGGGCGATTTCTCCCAAAGCTCGCTCGCTACTCTCACTCGCATTGATTTCATAGATGATATAATTATGTTAATTTATATCAAAGGGTCTTTTCAGTCTTCCGTTATGAGAATGTGAGGATAACCCCATCATTGGATTTAATTCGTAGAGGTGTCGTGGACGAGTGGATATGTCACCGGACTGTGGATCACAAGGTCCGCGGTTCAAGTCCCACCGCGGCACTAATGTCCTTTGGCAAGACATTGATCTTCATTTGCCACTCTCCACCCAGGTGTTAAATGGGTACCCGGTAGGATGCGAAAGCTAATGTGCTTAGATTAGCAAGTGTGCGCTTGTAAAAATGATGCACTGGCTGGAATGGGAGTGGAGAATGTGCATACATTGTGTGCGGGTAAGCCTGAATCCGATGACCGGGGTAATAATATGATCGCAGGGCCCCCAGGGAGAACAGTATGAATACTGATGAGGCTTCCCTGGGTAAACAAGACATATTATTATTATTATTATTATAAGATGCAATTTTTTGCACTGTGTGTCCATCCTATGTCAACTTCGGGACAGTGTGACGCGGGCATTATGAATGATCATAAAGAGATAAACATGGGTTCAAATTGTTCAGAAGAGTATGTAAAATATCATGAAAGAAAAAAACAATGGTGATTCTATGTTGCGAAAGCCATGACGTACGAAAACGCGCGCGTGGTCGTGTGCGCGCGCAAAAATTGTAAATGCCTAAAAAGGCCTGAAACGTGTGCAAAATGAATGAAATGGAATTAGAGATGATTCTGAAGAATTTTTTAATTTTGCGCACGAACTGATGCACGGACGTACGCGTACGCACGCGTCTTACTATTTGAAATTTACCGGACGGATATTGACCTTAATCATGATAAAAATGAATGATAAAAGACATTCCGTTAAAAAAAAAATATTAACAAAATAAAAAAATTAAAAAAATATGATCATGAGTTGATTTCCAAAAAATTTCACAAAATGGCGCCTGGATGTCGTTACGATGATCTGGCGTGGCTGAAAAGTCACGCAGTTCTAAGTTGGACTAAGATCTATCATCATTGCAAGTTTCAATTGCTTTATCCTTTCTTGAGATATCCTGCGAACAATTTATGACAGAATAATAGTAAATTATATATATATATATATATATATATATATATATATAATTATAATACAAATCCTGACGAAATCAAAAGGTGATACGTATACGTATATACAGTACATATCGCCTAATAAATAACTTAAAATCTTGACGAAATCAAAAGGTGATACGTATTATCTAATTATCAATTAACTTAAAACAGACTAGTGCCTGACATACAATTTCACAACGCTGATCATTGTGAAATGTTAATACGTTCATAAAAATTGTATCCATACATAATGATTCTAGATCTGACATTGTAATTAGTGTGTAAATCTGGAATGAATATTCACCGGTTCAAAGACATAAACTTTGTAAAAGTTTGTAAACTGTCTTAATCTGATTTGATGATACACAAAGTTTGAATCAAAGTGTTATTCTTTTCATTCCAAACTCAGCTTCTGCCATATTCCTGAGAAAGCTTGTAATTAATTCTGTTTAAAAACACAAAGATGGTGTAAGTGTTCATACAAGCGCACATGTTAGGAAGACTTGTTGACAAGTTTTTTGATCAGCAAACGCTATCATTGATTTATTTTAAAACAGGGTCTGTTACTCCAAGCCGTAATTGGCCAGAGATGGGCCATGTAATATACAATCGAGTACATGCTAGGTATGCGGCTACCCTACCTGCTATCCTTCATGGTGTTAGCATTGATTTCAAACCAGGCATGAAGGTAATCTATTATATATCCATCCCATTATTCATTATTCTATTAAATTTCATCTCCACAGCAAAACTCATTCATCGGTTCATAATATCGATGACGATATCCAATTATGTGAATGTCGAAATCCCTTTTGATGAATGCCTTTTCTTGCTTATCTCTAGACGAAATCAGGAGTAATACAAGAGTGAAAAATATTTTGATAGATGATGTCCGTAATTTGAAATGCCTGACCTCTAAAGAGTGACCAAATTTATATTTAATTTATTTGGAAAATAAGACATCCTCTCTTCCAATTATATTTCGTCTGAAATGGCTAAATTAGCACTTTTTATTACTGTTACTGTTAGTCTAGAAAAAATAAAGCGTCATATTCAGAATATCTAAACGTTTTCATATGATTTGTATTAGACGAAACCAGGCTCCAATTATTTGATGTAGATTCATCATTTTTCTATCTCCATAGGTTGCTGGGTGGTATGATAAATCAGTTTGTCTGACCAAAAATTATATATCGACTTTGACAATTCTTGTAACTTTCCTTTTGATAGGCGAAGTCATACAATATTTGTGAGATCTAATTCTCTTTGTTCATAAAATATACCAAGTATTGGCATTTATCACTTACTTGAATAGGTTGGTATTTGTGGCCGAACAGGGAGTGGGAAGTCTTCGCTGACACTGACACTTTTCCGCATCATCGATACATTTAAAGGTATGTTCCCTATATAGTCTTTTATTAATAAAGAATGAGCGAAGTAATAGAAAAACATATAAATAATGTGACTGTGACCCATAAAATGACGCTCTCGTTCTTCTTAAAACGTTTATGTTTCACATTTGTTTACATTATCCTTTATAGGCATATCTAAAACATCAATGGTGTACTCAATTGTTATCGCCTGATTGATGCATTTGAGATCAACTAGTAAACATGTTTACATGAATGTACACGTTATATGATAGACCTACTACGAAGTAGGTACATGCAGGGGCGTCGCTAAAAGGAGGGGGTGTCGGCGTGCGACATCCCCTCCCACCTATCAGGATTTTGTCGGTTGACGTGCGCTGCCGTCGGGAAAATGAGAAAGGGAGGAAGGAATAAATGAGAGGGAAAGAAAAAAGGTAAAGGAATAGAAAGAGAAAAGAAGAAAGAAAGAGAAGAAATACCCCCACTGAAAAAGTTCTATAATATAGTGACGCCCCTGGGTGGCTGGGTCCATGGTTATATCCATAAATTAATATCAAATAGCCGTGGTAATGTTTAGGGTTGAAATTTTTCCTTTAATTGTATTTGTAGCCTGCAGGTTGGGGACGGTAAATTGAATAATCATGATTGTGACGATTTACCAAAACATCTATGAGTGTATTTTGAGGATGTTGATGTTTGTCCTAACAATCCTATATATGCTGTTTATGATATTTGCTAATCTCCAGGATCTATACACATCGATGGGATCGATATCGGGAAGCTGTCTCTCGTCGATTTGCGAAGTCGTCTTGCCATCATACCTCAAGACCCTTTCATGTTCACAGGCACAGTTAGGTCAGTTGATATATTCACAGATCAAATTTCGTAGTCAGTATAACATATCTCTTTGAAGACAAAAATCAGGTTTGACAATCATAATAAAATGGATTCTCCACTCACATCCACGAGACCAATACCAGACCAACAGATAACCGAAACAAATAACATGTTATCCGGAATGGCTAAGAATCAGTCGGTTTGTTAGTGTGACTCAGATATAAGTAGCTCGTTATTCAGTTCAGTGTACCAAGAATTATTCCCAAGCGCACTACATGGCCTGCAATGGTTTTCATCAGAATTAAAACTCGATCCAATGATCTCCCACCCAAAATAACGAATTCCTGTAGTCCCATCCGTTCTTACGGTTTTTATTCTCTTGACCTTTCTTCTGTCTGACTAATAAAGATTCAACCTAGATCCTGAGGAAAGGCAATCAGATGCTGATATATGGGAAGCATTGGAAGTTGCCCAACTCAAGGAGCTTGTGAGAGATCTTCCAAACAATCTCGGTAGGTTTATTTTCTTCTTACACAATTCGTCCTTGTTTTCACGAAGTGACGGTAGTGAGGAAAATCGTAACGCAAAGTGAATGCAATTTTTTCACTACCGTCACTTCGTGAAAACAGCGACGAATTATCAATGATCAACGTGATAGATGATGGAAGCGTGCATTAACTTTAAATCTATTTCTAAAATGTATCAACAAATGAAATAAAAAGCCAAACTTTCCTCTGTATACAAAAGTGACTTGAAATTATGAGCCACATTTAATGAAACATGACTTCTATGAAATGATGTCTATAATAGTTTGCATATGAGTATATTGCTAAAGCTAACACGCTCTTTGTTATTCTTTTTTCTTTTCCTTTTGCTAAACTGGGAATTCAAATCTCTAGACTCGCTGGTACACGAAGGAGGAGTTAATTTCAGTGTGGGTGAAAGACAACTCTTCTGCCTTGCTCGGGCTATGCTCAAGAAAAGTCGCATTCTGATAATGGATGAAGCAACGGCCTCCATTGATGTCCACACGGTATAATTTCTTTTGTGCTTGTCGAAGTTTTAATTCCCCCGCAGTCAACGTTTATGTTTTCTTAATATTACCATCGATATGACTTTCTATTCTTTCTTTTTTAATCAAATTTGTTAATTCTCTTGTTAACCTTAATCATTTCCTGCGTTTTAAACATTTTCTATGTTTTAATGAAAAGGCATTACATTTTTTTTACTGCTGAGCTTTTAACAATTTCCTACGTTATAAGTGCCTATTCTTCAGTCCATTAAAAGGTATTGTGTTTTGCTTTGACAGTAAAAAAAATATTCAATGTTTATTCCATATTCGTTCATAGGATGCTATTCTACAGGAAGTCGTCGCAACTGCTTTCCAGAAGGAAACCGTCATCACAATTGCGGTAAGTACTCAAAATCTCAAATTGAATTAATTTAAAACTTGTATTCTTAAACCTGTTTTTATACCTAATTCATCGATTAACAATTCAAAACAACATGTCTATTTTCATCCTCAATAAATGGATCCCAAATTAGTGATGTCTCACCTTTAGTGACAAAGAAGGAAATCTTAATAGCAGGAGAGAGGACAAGAAGAACTAGAAGAAGAAGAATGAGGAGGAGGAGGAGGAGATGGAGTAGGAGAAGAAGAAGAAGAAGCTGAAGAAAAAGAAGAAGGGGTAGAAGAAGGAGGATGAGGATAAGAAGAATACGAAAATGAAAAGAAAAAGAAAAGGATAAAGAAAATAAGAAGAAGTAGGGAATTGATGGAAGGAGAAGAAAACAAATATACAGAAAAGGGATAAAAAGAAAGAAGAAAAATAAATGGCAGAAATGTAAACAAATAATCTTTAACGTCTACTTTGTTATTCAATATACGTTAACGCAATTAATTTATGTATCTTTTGTAAATTGTATAACAGCATCGTGTATCAAGTATCCTGGATTCAGATCAGATTGTTGTACTCTCCGAAGGACACGTCGCAGAGGTGGGAACACCAAAATCTCTGCTAAAGAGAAAATATGGTATCTTTGCTTCTCTTGTCAGAAATAAGCTTTAACTAAGTGAAATTTCCATCAGCTTGATTACGATATGTCACTTCCACTTGTTCACATTATAAGAATTTAAGAATATTATTCTTTAACAGTACAATCGGAGATGTATCATGTAGAAATGATTTTATATGTTGTCAATATGTCATGCGGCTTTGGTCAGGTGACAACAGGTGGTATAGTTATCAATATATTTTAGACCTAAAGAGCGCACTCGCGGGCACAAGCATGATTTAAGTGTTAAGGGTCTTGTAAATGTGGTATCTTTATACCTCCTTTGATTTCATGTATGTGGCCAAACAAAATGATGTAAATGTTACGAGGTTCTCTCGTTTTCGTATATGATGAATGAAGAGCCCTTTTATTATGGTGTATCTAATTAGGTTCATAACTCATTCATCTATGAGAATAATGTTTCCTTTAAGGCGCTCATAATTCGGCGCCCCTATACTTGTATAACCCGGATTGGTCAAAGCTATACAGACTGCAATGCATTAAGAATTTCTTCTGACAAGGTAACCATGTACTTATGATAGGATGATGAAAGCTTTTGTGATAGTAATTACTTTAGTTATGCCCTCACGGTGACCATTATGGTCTGAATACTCCCCAGGGAATGAAGATCGTGCACATTGTGTGTATGAATGGATCCGTTGACCTGGGGTATAGTATACAAATATTGACTGCTCATGAGGATGATGGTGGGAAATATCACTCCCAAGGTAGTGTTTACACCGGCCCTTCTATCATCCCCGAGGCGAAGCCGAGGGGTTGATAGAAGGGCCGGTGTGAACACCACCGAGGGAGTGGTAGTTCCCACCATCATCCGATTACAGAGCAGTCCATATTTGTTTTATATACCTCATCCTTTTTATTGATTCATGATTAGGTCTAGCTGTAGGTCTAGATCTAGCTCTAAAAACAGGAAACGAGATCAAGAGGAATTTACTAACCCAAATAAGAAAAATCCAACATCAAGTCCAAGGCAAGAGTATTGAATTCCTACGCGCTGCGCGTAACCGCGCGATTGCGGTAGCCTAGCAACTCAAAAAATTTGTGTGCGCAACTAAGTCGCGGGAGGGGTTAGGGGTCCTATCCCAGGGTTTGATAGTAGCTATCAACCCCTCTGACGTAATGATACTTGATAGATCGAAATGCTCCTTGACATGTGATATAGTTTTGACCAATCAGTGAATGACAATCTATGTATGAGGTATATAATAGCATCTGTAAAGCGCTTACAGAGACGATTTTCGGATTAGGCGGTGTATGAATCCAGGTTTATTATTATTATCAGTATTAAACCTCACCTGGTTCGTTAGTAGAATGACATATTGAATGTTTTAAGTTAATAATAGTATTGCTCATGCTATTGATGTCACAATTTAATATGAAACAAATTTACAACGCATTTCAAATTCATGACGAAATACACTGACAGATTGGGAGAGAGAGCGATAAACATGTCATATGAATATATTTCTTATATGTAATGCAATAAATAATGTATGTTTCTATACAGTTTCTATATCATTGTAGAAGGTCACACTCCAACAGAAATATTCTTGAGTTTTAAACGTGTAGCTTAGCATGGAAATATTCCATACATACCTGTATCATGATAACCTTTAAAAGGTAGATTTATACAAACTGCGTCAATGTGGTTTATTTGTAATTTGGATTTTCCAAGACTATTTCGTGATTTTTATGATGAAAGTCATGATAATGTTCAACCTGTAAAGGAAAGAATTAAGTGGATCTTCTTGATCTTGGTCTATATCTTTCCCTCTGATGTTGTTGAATTTGTTGAAACAAAGAAACGACGCGCAATATGCATGGTAACTGAATCGATAAGGAGGAGGAGGAGGAGAGAGACACACATCATTAATCAGTATGACCATGAAAAGCAATCTGTATACACTGTATACGGGGTTTTATTTCAGTAAATAGTCGCTGGTGTCAATTTTTATTTTCATTTACAAGCTATTATCTGTTATTACGATGGATTGTGATAAGTCACAATAATGAACGGAAATTTGCTCACAGCGTTTTTTTTTTATCGTAAAGACTACAGGTTACAAGTTTAGGGTTGTAATTGGGTTGACGTTGGTTTTAGGGTTAAGGTTAGGAAATTTGGATTGGGGTTAGCGTTACGTATAATGTGGGGTCGAGTGTTGAAGTTAAGGGTTTTTGGTCGGGGATTATAAGAATTATTATATCCCCTGTATGTAAATATAAAGTAAGTAATGAAGCGCAGACAGTGATTTCAATGTAATTGAATACTACGTATCTTCTCATGTCTAAATTAATAAGATAAATGATGATACCTTTGAATTTTTGCACTATAGTGGGATCATAAAAGACAAACATACATTTTCTCATTTGTACGATTTACCAAGACATTTCAGGTGCAATAGGTTATCTTCCTTATGTTTAACTAGTAGTCGGTCATTAACTCTAATATCACAAGTTTACTTTATGTTCGTATTACAAAACATGTAGTTTCCTGTCTCATTTCTTTTATATTCGATATAATTGCGCTTTGATTCACATATAATTATGTAATAGCTGAGGATAATTGATTACAAATAATTTATTTATTATATTGCATTATAATGACACATCAACTAATTTTTAGCCAACTATTCGAGTGAACTTTTACTTCTATTTTGCCTATCCATGAACGATTTGTTTCAAAAGCTTCATTATTTATATGAAAGTGTGATTTAAATTTTGAATGAATATGTACGTTTTTATAACGAATTAGTAATTTTCTATTTTATTTTATTGATTCCAGGAATATATCAAAGAAAATATATTGTGTGCCATAAGCTTTAGTAAAAATATTATACTATGCAATAAATTTATTGTAAAATTTGTTATTTTAAAGTTGTGAATATTTACCCAGTCACGGTATGGAATACTACAGACCATTCTCAAAGCACTTCAAACAATATATTTGTCGTAAGTAATTGTAAATGACTTGACATATCAAATAGGCCAGTGGGGCACTGCGCCAATTCTAAAGTTCTTTCAAGGGTTGTTATATTGTTCTGTCTTGCTGTAGTTGTGTGTTTGTATGTAGTTTTAATGATTATTTCATTTTTATTTTGTTATTTTACGGTAAAAGAATTAACGGTTTAGGATTATATGCATCATGAATCTTTTATTTCCATTAAAATCACGAAAGGGATAATTATTACGGTTGCCTCTCGTGATCTTTATTCACTTTTGTATTACATAAATTAACCTATTTTATAAAATTGCTTGACCACAAAATGTGGTTCAATCTTGCCTCTTAGATCTGCATGAATTAAACATAAAAGTAATGAAAAAGAACAAGTCAAATCGTTTATATATTTAAAAAGGCACGTCTTTTATGACAAGACAATTAATGTTTTGCTTTGTAACCCTACAATCTCTTTCTGTTGGAGCTAATGAACATTACCCCTTTACTGTCTCATTTTAAAATTTGTTAATTTGATTCAACCTTACAAGAAGAAAAAAACTATTTAGGTCATTAGATTGACATATCAATAATAAAGTTTAAAGATTTGCATTTTGGGGGAATACTTCAGTAGTTCACGATTGTGGGTTCGAACCCCGGCCACGTCATACAAAATGACGTTAAAAGACGGGAGTTGCGGCTACCTTGTTTGGCGTTCAACATTAAAGGGATAGAGCAACGTCGATCTGGCGCTGCTCAGTGGCTGCCGAGCTCACGATCAATTGGGCAAAAAGAATTTCCATTTTCGGTTTAATAAAATTTGGAGTGGACTTTAAAAGATAATTATTATTATTATTATTATTATTATTATTATTATTATTATTATTATTATTATTAAACTGGAAATGAAAACGTGAGTGGATGTTTAACATCACTGTTGTATCACCACGCCATATTATCATTAAAACTTACCCCATACAGAATAAGCCTTAAACAGCAGGGCTGTATATGATGATGATGAAGTAGAGCTGTAGTCAATGTGAAAATAGCAATTTCCATCAGGTCATACGTTAAAAAAATACACAAGTATGATAACATAAAAAGGAGATATTACTACTGTTCTCATTTGTGTAATTTCTTATTTTTGATAAATTCTAAAATTACTTTATTTTTTCTTCTTCACCCCCTTTCACATTTGGGACAGTGTGACATATATCGGTTTTTGTTTATTCTAACATGGTTTTACCATATTGACCATCGACTTATTATAGATCGATTATATTTGAATGACCAGTCAATGACCACGCAATGAGCAATAGTTACCCCCGAAAAACACTCACAGTTTAATATATGGCACCATTCATTAAAGGTAATACGAAGTTTTGGTATAGGGTCATGAATTTGGTTCAAATGAACATATTGGAAGCATATGCGATCCTACAATGTTCGGTGATCGTTGTCGCGGTTGAAATCGAGTCTAAAGTTATGAAATTGTAAATAATAAACTCTTTATGTTGAATAGCTCCCTCTCAAGGTCAAGATATAAATTAAGCTATAAAACAATGTTTCTTGACATCAATATATCAATATATATTTCCCCTGTTTGCATGCTTCCTGCTCCCATACTGTAAATAAAATGAAAAGTTGTAATCTTAGAAAGCGAAGAATTTGGCTTACTTACCATCTATCCTACTTTTTTAGTATCATCTCGTCCATATCACTTTCTCCACCCTCTCCCTCTTCTTTCTGTCTATCCGTATGTCTGTGTCTCCAACAGGCGCGCGCTCTCTCTCTCTCTCTCTTTCTTTCTATCTGTCTGTCCGTCTCTCTCACTCTTTCTCTCTCACTCTATCATGCTGTCTTTTTCTCATTTTTTCTATCTTTCCCTTTCTCTCTCTCTCTATCTCTCTATTTATTTATTTATCTCTCTTTCTCTCTCTCTCTCTCTGTCACCCATACTCTCTCTCTCTCTCTCTCTATCCACTTCCCTCATTTTCAGTACTGTACACTATACATTTAAAAAACGTAATGGAATCCTGTGCCCGGGTAAATAGTTCCGTAACAACTTTTGTTAAATACCTGTAACTGGTACTATCGTACAATTTTAATTAATACTGTGGTTTGAGAAATCGTGATAAATTAGTTCGTTTATCTATCAAAAAAAAAATTGAGTGATCACTGACGTCACTCCTCAGGAGAGTGAAAATGTTGTGAAAATAGAGTAAGCATTCCATCTTTTCTTCTCAAAGAGCACTTTTTAATCAATCGATATTCACTCCTGAGCAAATGATCACGGACGTCACTCCCAAGAAAGTGAAAATAGAGTGAAAATTCACCTTTTTTTAGAGAGAGAGAGAGTACGAGTTCAGAAACAAAATGAATACGAAACAGGCTCGGAAATACAGTTGAAGTCCATTTTATTAATTATAACGTCGCTACAAATTTAGCCGAAGCTCCAGTAGTTTAAACGAAGATTATATAGAGATATCGACTGCTACGAAAGTTGCATCCGCTCCTATCACATGATAGGAGCGGATGCAACTTTCCCGCGAACCAGTATAGAAACAGCCAGTCCTCGAATATTAAAGCAGTCGATATCCCTTTTATATACCAAATTGACACAAAAAACTTTCAAGATTTCTTACCTTCTCCTTTAAATGAGTGAAGATTGATTAAAACATCACGCAAAATCTGAGAAACTATCCGTTTATCTTTGCCGGAAAATCGACTGAAATTTTCGATCAGTTGGGAATCGCTAGCAAAAAGCACTGTATGGTGTCCGCGCTCGCTCAAAGAACATTTTAACACGTAAACCAATGGGTATCGCAGCAAAATTTTATTATTTTCCTGGTAACCGGAATTTTGAGGGATGTCACTTTTTTACTATATTAACCGGTTTGGGCATTTTTCGTTTCGTCATGCACATAGCGCTTAAATAGTCGAGCGCCCGGCACGGCTTTAATGTCACATACTCTTACTAGCCGAGAAAAGAGGAACTAACTGATCTTTATTTCCATAACCCTGCATCATCTATATTTGACGTAATATTTGATTATCATTTTAACGATGACCTCACTCCACTTTCATGAACTCTTAATAACAGGTGCGGTGGGTCGATTGTAAAAAGTTTGGTTAAAGGTAAAGACCAGTATTGGAAACGCCCCAATTTCAAAAAATGAAATGGAAGCTCTTATTACCAATCATGTGAAAGAATATGTTTTGACTAATACATGATGATAACAATTTGCCGGGAAACCCCCTACTAATTGATATATTTGGTAAATTAGTTTATCTATTGGACTGTGAGAGATAAACGCACGTGTCGCGCACGTGTGCGTAGTCCCATATACATCTCTCTGTGTACAGTGCTTATAACTTTTCGAAGACTGGGCCAAATTTCTTATCGTTTTGATGATTCCAGAACCTTGCAGTACACACCAATACTTATATGCTAGACGATCAACCTTTTCTGATCGATTCCACAATGTTTCTTTCACAATGCAATCGCATGACTATAACTGGTCTTTATCTTTAAAGCCTACTTTGATCAGGTGAGCGCTAACATATTGATATTTATCTGAGTTTAAATATACATTACCTATTAATGTTTAAAGAATCAAGTAATGTAACCTATAATATATTAGCTTATCCGGTAACTTTCATAATTCGTCAGCAAAATCAATCATATGAGGGGAATTTTAACTAAACGCTTTTCGCAACCTATCCGTCCTAAAATATACAGCACAATATTCGCACATGGGTGATGTATATTGATTAATGAGCAAAAAAATAGCGCATGGCAGAGTGAAATCCTCCACTGATTGCATACATTGATCTTTTTACTGTTTCTGATTTAAGAACAAAAACAAGAATTTTATAAATGTCTAAGCACCTTTAATATGTTTTTGTTTTCTTCATGAATCCAAACATTGCCCCTTTTCCATTGGGCATTTTAATTTTCTCACCCTAATTCATCCATGGTGCCAGGTAAAATTCAATTGCTCTATATACGTTTCAGAACTTGTTTATACCTTTCTATCATTATAGGTACTCATCCGAAACTATGCGCCTATAGAAGGTGTAGTGGGTGGGGATGTATACCACATTATTTACTGCATCAACAACGTATTGGTTTTTGATTGGTCAAGAGCTCTTCACGTGATCAAAAATTAAAAAAACTATTTTGCAAAAGGTGCTATTGACTGCTCCCCCCAAAAGAAAATTGATGGAGGATATAAAACAATAAACCCTGCCTTCTTTTCGAGATACTGGTTCAAACTATGGGCCCCGGTGTTTGCTAGAGTACGCGGCCGCCCCCACAAATCCCCCTAAACGAAGAAAATGCAATAAATTGTCAAAAATTCATTGCATTTTCCCCCGGCCCCCAACAGGAAAAATTCCTCTGTGTGGCCATGCCTTAAACCATTATGCATGGCCCTACAGAGAAAACCCAAGCTTGTTATACAGTATTGACAAAATAATAAGCACTTTATTTTTACAAATTAAATCGCGTGATTCGTTTTTTTTTCCTTTAACCAAAAAACAATTAAAATATAGACGTCTGACCAGGCAAGACATTCTAAGAAAATAAACTTTAGTACTCTACTTTATCGAACATGTTAGGTTCGATAACATGGATAACCGATCCGGCAAGGAAATTACTACCAGTGACCAAAACCTGAAGATGGTCAGCTTTATGCAAGAATCCTTCACCATCGGGCAAGTCCATCGATTCCCTATCATCAAGACACATACGAGAGTCTAAAACCCATTGAATTGCTTCTGTAGCGGAAGGAGTTACTTTAAAGATTGGCGCTTGCATGACGTCACGATGACATGGTTGATCTTGGAATGAGTCGCAAATATCACCATGGAGCTTCTTGAAGGTTGCCAGATGCTGGTGGCATTTCATCAGCTGATCATCTAGCAACTGAATAGTTTTGTAATCTGAATAAATTTAAGAATAAAACCCTAAATTATTCTGGAAGAAAAGTCTGGTCATTCACGTGGCAGGATTCGGCAATAGACAAGGATTTTAAACTAAAAGTTTATATAATAAAATCATGCAATGGTATTCCATTCAGAATGATATGGTGTAGCAGCGCTGCAAAGTCATTCGTTTGGCGTGATTTAAGCTTTCCTCTAATTTCTGCGGTCTTTCTATTTTGTTCTTCAATTTTTGTTGATAATTATAATTATAAATAAAGTGATATTGAAACCAAAAACTGTAGCACGATTTAAGCTTTCCTCTAATTTCTGCGGTCTTTCTATTTTGTTCTTCAATTTTTGTTGATAATTATAATTATAAATAAAGTGATATTGAAACCAAAAACTGTAGCACGAACTAGAGCTCGGGTACCATATGTTATTCTATTTATTTAAATGGCTTGTCTACCTAACAACACGGAATGTATGCAATTCGTATTCTAACTATTCAAATACAATCATTCGTAACAGGTGAATGAAATCATTTATAACGAGGCACTAAACAAGATTTGTCCCTTAAATTTGATTACAAATTGTTTATGGGCTTTTATGTGTATTTGAACCCCCCCCCCCCCCCAAAACTCTCCGGCTCGTAACAAAAGCAAAAGGTCTACCCGTATTGACTTTACACACCGGACTTTTGCTGAAAGGGGGGTGCTGAAAAAAGGCTCGTATAACAAAATAAAAAGGTCGACCCGCATTGACTTTACTCACCGGACTTTTGATGGGATTTATCCATCCCGATCTTTTTTTGATTTAAATTCCAAGATGGCAAAGCCTTAACGTATGAGGATTTAAATTCATGAAGTGTTAATTTTAGCTACGATCACGTGACTTACCTCTCACTTCATTTTCTTGAGATGCTACGGTTCGCATGACTGAAAACACAACAGCGTCGAACCCGTATTCCTGACGAAGAAAATAGATCGGATAATTTCTTCAGCATGAAAGAAGAAATAATGGCCGATAGAAGTAACATCACTTCATTGAAAACCATTAAAGATATAAAGAAAGGAAATATACTTAACTGAAAACAACCAGGAAGGAGGTGTCAATAACAAATGTGCATGTAATAAATGTAATTTACATGAATGTGTCTTCTGTTCGTCACACACAGTTAAAAAAAACAATCTTGTTAACTTTTTTTTTCTTCATCGAACTGTTCGCATCAAAATATTTTCCTCTATTTCGTTCTTTTTAATTTATTTATATTTACATTAATTACATAGTGGTGTTGAATATGTGATTGTGTTTGCATTTTCTCTTTTCAAACTAAAATTGTCTTCATCACGCATTAGGAAAAGCATTAGGAAACCTCTCCCAGAACGTTCTCTTGAAATAGAAGGTGAGGTGAAAATTTATGAACAGAAGACAACGTTGGCTATTTCCTTAGCTCAATTACAACATTGCAACTTTAATGACGTAGAATGAAGGTAAATTAAACGAAAACTTACCACAAGAGGTCGTAGGATCGTGTAACCGTCTCTATCCCCGCCTAGATTGAAAATGAGGACTTTTTTGATGACTCCTGGGATCATCTTGGCCTCATTCGATGCCTCTTCTTCAAACCAATTCTTACAGAAGGCCACGCTGTTTTTGGTATGTGCAATATCGATGTAGTAAGTCACGCCGGTTTTCCGGATTATTTGGTTACGTCCTGGCCACTTTGATAACTCGAATCCTGAGAGCAATATTCAAAAGACAAATTAATTATATAGCTTAAACAAAGTAAATGACTTATCTTTCGATGCTGCCTTAAATAGATAAATATAGTATTTCATTTGCTTTAAATACAGTATTTGATAACGACATTTGCTGATAAGCGTCAGCAACTGTTTATTCATTTATTTCACTAAGCAATATCCCTTAATACTTTTCTCAAATTCCATATGTATTTCTATTGATATCTGTATTGTCGAAAAATGTGTCACACTTTGGAGTATATCAAATTACTTGAAGATGTCTTTAGAAATAAATATTTGTAGATAATGTTGGTATTATATTCAACCCATACAATGCGTGCGTGTGTGTGTGTGTGTGTGTTGGGTATTATTTGTTTGCTTCTGTTGTAATTCTATTCTTTCTGTGTGTAACTTTACCGTGCAATTAAAATCAATATCATTGCTCTGCATGTACTATGATTAACTTCCCATGAACTTTATCATCCTACTTATTTTTTGCTATTCGCTATTTGCAAGGTGGCCTCGTTAGCCAGAGGCATTAAGCGAAAATTACCTTGTAAGAATTCGTCTGGCAGAACGAATGGCGTCGCTCTCTGAACTTTCCCATCGTCAAGTTTATCACCAATTGTTGAGTTGCCGCTGATATCTACATCTTGTGGTCCTATATGAAAAGAATACGTACAATGTTTTTTATGTTTCCATACAAATGTGGCCACAGTACCTCTCCAATAACACAATACCTAGTATTCAAAAGGATGTATATGTGTCAAATATAAAACTAAAACAAATTCTATAGAAATATATGAAAAATAACATAATATTTTTCCTAACCCTAGTATATATATATTTGAATATACAAGTATGTCTATCCTTTAAATTTATTGTTATGTCTAGGGGGGCCTACATACGTTTACAAGTATTGATATAAATTATGTTACGTGTTTCGCTTCTTTTCTTTAATGTGCATAGTACGAGACTCGTATAGACTACATTTATTCGCTTTGAAATATTGCCATGTCGTCTCTGAAGAAAAAAGGTTAATAACGAGTATCTCTCCTGAATATTACCTTGGAATTGCACTCTCCCTGGGGCTTTCTCATCGAGCCACGTTTTAGTGAGTTGAACGGCCAAAGCTGCGTTAATGCGTTGATGTTTTCCAGCAAGACCTAACTTGACACTGACGCCATTGCATTCGTAGTCGCCTAAAGGAGGACAAACTCGCAAAGGTGCCTAAATGGAAGGAAGAAATTTTCATTGAACTATTTGGTTGAGCATATGCAAAACACGAAAATGATTGCCAAATATTTCATATTGTTTAAGACGCTCCACAGCAATATTTGAATAATGACGAAATACAATTAAAGAATTCAAAATATGGAAGGTTCAAGAGAAATATCCTTATGAACAAATTTATTTCGTAATGGATATAAGCTTAGAAGTGATTAAAGTCACTGACGACACTGACAACGGTCACTTATTAAACGAAAACATATCCATTGTGCGTTATTAACTGACTACTTGCTGTTCTGAAAGTCTTTCAGTACCTTTAAGAACCATAAAGCCTTGGGTCTTGATGGCCCTTGTACAATATACTTCAACTTTTGGACTTACTATATGGCAACGGAGAACTTTTGACAGTGTTTAAAACTTAAAGAAACTGGGGTAAAAATGTCATAGTATTGTATAATTGGCTAGTAATAACCATTACATTACCGGACATGTGGTTAAAATATTTGGACATATGGTTAATATGTTTGGACATGACTGGACATACGGTAACTAAAATAAAAATTAGGCGCTCATGTTCATTTTGATTACCATTAAACTCTTGTGACTTACGTTTCGTTCCTTTGCCCGTTGTACAAGCACAGTCATCGCTTCCTCTCGCTGTGGCGCTGTCAAAGCAGGTCGACCATCCTGAAAAATATGTTTTTTTGAACGAAGATGAAGTTTAAAGCCATCTCTCTCTCTCAAATGTTCACTTCTTACGTTTCTCTCCATTTTTTTTGGATCACGCATCACGCAATGTCCCTCTCTATTAATGTGTATTCATCTTTATCTTGCTGCTTCCTCTTCATTCCAATTCATGAATTAGACCCTATCTCCCCTTGACTCACAGTTTCTTATATTATATCTATGGCAACCACAGTGTTTGTGGGCCCATTGTTTCCTCTTTTTTTTTTTTAATATTAAGGCTATTGCGTATTGCAACATAGCTTTTAGGAAATATCACGGACTATTACTTTCGAAAAGTGAAGTGCAAATTAAGGCAGAAGTTTCATTTTTAGATTCATAGATTTACCTTGAATATGCCTGATTTATGCCAGGAGATTTTAGCCAGGGTGTCGCCGAGTTGTGAGACATGTTCCACGGCAAGAGACGAAACACCAGTCACAGTTGGAGACCTTTGGAATGGAGTTGGTAAAATGAGAGAGGAGAGAGAGAGAAAGAGAGAGAAACGTCAATAGTCTTGTTCAGACGGAGGCAAGTTACCCTAGGGTAAAGGTCGTGTTAAGAGCTAGTTGGGGGTCAATATGGCGAGGTATATGGCGGGGCAAGCAGGCCACTATCCGTACAACTATACAACTATACGCATATACGACTGTATGTCTATCCAGCCATCGGATAGACGTATGATTTTGACAAATGAGGGATTACCGCTGCAAGATGAGGCTCTTATAACTCAACGTTGAGTCTCCCTTCGCCCGCCGAAATTTGATTTTTCTTCCCCGTTTGCGATCGAAAATGTGAAGAAAAAAAAAATCATTTTGTTAGTGCGACTTCTGAATTACCGTTATGAACTTCCTATTTTACAACGGTTATAAATAGACATTTTGTTGTTCTCATAAAACATTTCTCCTTTCCTTACTGCCGGCTTCCACTGTAGGCCCCCTGCCACTAAACTTCATAAATAACAATAATTACTGTTAACACCGGTGTACTGAACCGAGATCACCTCGGCTCGGCAATGATTATTTGAACCATTACCCTCGTAGTCGGTTTATATTTGCTTACTACATGTATTAAGTTCCTGTAATAATTGTATCAATGTTTTATTTCCAATAGTTAAAACGTACACAATCTGAACATGATTTCTGTGGAATACACAAAAGGTATTACAATTGCCCACAGGAGTTGATTTCTCTAAAGTTTTTGCGATATTGTTAGTATTTGTACATACCAAAGAACGTTGGTTGAATCATATTCGCCTCCCAGTCCTACTTCCACAACAGCGACATCTACCTATGAACGACAAGTTAGTAGTATAATACTGCCTTATCCTGTCTACAGTGCGTCCCAGAAAAAATGAAACCGAGAACTATCGATGTTTTATCATAACTTAATCACAATTATAATTAATAAATGACACATATTTGGAAAGCTTAGATCCTCCGCTTTCATTTGATGCAACTTATATGATGCATATTTGAGGCATGAGTGATTAAAAGCAATTTGAAGAGAGGAAACCAAAAAGTCATTTGGCGGGCGGTATTTGAATTACAGGGAGAAAATCATATTTCTAGAAAGTTCAATTTCTGCCCTTTCATATGACACCTCAATCAGGATAAATGAACCGGGAATAACAAAGTCAATTTGTTCACTCTTGCAAACAATGTTCATGTTCCACTTCATTTTCGAGCGTTTAAGACCCCGATGCTGTTTTGTAATACAAAATTCTCTAGAGCAACGATGCATTCCATAATCAATATTATATTAGTATTAACATTAACACCATAAAACGATACGAGTGAAGTATGTGGAAAAAATTTGACCGCGGTCTTACCTTTTCTTTGACAAGAATGTAGTATGCAATGAATGTGAACATCGAATATGGACCTGTCACGGGTGTGAATATGTGACCAAATTTCGTTTTGTTCTTCTCTAGCAGTTCAAGGCATTCTACTCCATATCTTCCATACATTGCTCGGGAAACTGGTGCCCCATTGATACGGACTCGCTCACGAATCTCTAATAGAGGGGGAGAACTATAGAAGGACAGAGATGAACATACAATCTGCTTTTATGATATTTGTTCATTTTGAGAGGGTACAAATACGAAATAAGAAGTGGAAACAAAAGGAATCTTGCCTGAAATGGTACTTGTTGATTAAACACATATAGTACTTGATACTAGTTCGCCTTTCGTTTACAAAATACAAATGACTTTGTTTAACAAATCAATAAACATTGCTATGAAACAAATTCACAAATACAATTATGCACTTCAGTCGCTCCACTCCCTCGCAACAGAAAGCCCAAGTCTCCCACAATCTCTTATTTGCTTGCTTTCTTTCTAGAATCACTCCTGCCCTGGACCAAAAGTTAAAGTATTGAGCTCAGGGTAAATGTCGAATCACCGTCATAACACCTAGCAAATATAAATATTTCCCATTAATTCTGACTGAGTATATGAGGGAGCGGAACGACTGAACGGTATAATTGTATAAGTGAATTTTTGTTTATAGCAATTGATATCAATTATTCTCAACGCTATTAACTACATCTCAAATACTAACTCAAAAACACCAACTATATCTTATTTATTTCTTGTTAATTAATTTTTCTGAAATGTTGATTAGCTCATATATATATCATCTCATTGAACTATGTATCATATCTGTACAAAAAAAACCTGTGTGTTTTATGTTTATATGTCCATTGTCCTGGGCTATGTTTGCTTTATTGTGATATAAATTTCTGTACAGTAATGATTTATTTGTACCACTGTCTATTTTGATTATGAAATAAATGCTTATATATACCTTATGATGCCTGTCTTGTAGCCGTATGTCCTTAATATCCTTTCTGTCATAGCACATGTCGATCCCTTTCCCTTAGTACCCGCCACATGGATGCACGATAACGAGTCTAAATCTTTTCTCTAAATAATACATAGATAAGGGAATATACTATTTATCTCACGTTGTTTCTATATGATGAGGTGTATTAAAAGGAGCATTTTTACATTTTTTTTTTATAATATGAAAGTCTCATATCAGACCAAAATTTGGGAAAGTTCTGCAAATTTGAATGATATATGTATTTGGAGTAAGTTTCTTAATGTTTTTCCTAATGTTCTTTTCATAATACTGATCTTAATGTGTAATTTATTCACTCTTTGACAAAAGGCTAATTTTGTATCATAAAACTTTGGAAAACACACAATCGTTTCTTTGAAACAGCCTAACAAGATTGCCGCAACGACTTTTGAAAAATCAACCTACGGTAATTCCAATGGCCTTTTGCGTCTCCTATTGAAACGTTCGAATTTTTTTATGACGTATGACGTAATCCGAACTTGATGTCCATGGGACCTACATGAGTGGATTAAAACTGCCCTTGATTTGATTTTTCGAAAATAGTTGCGATTGTGTTATATTTTTATAGAACTTTTTTTCATTCAATTAGACAATTACATTTATGCGTCACAATAGGTATCTTAGGATCCATCCTGAATAACAGAAACCAATTTTCGATTATAATCTTTATTATTGTAATTATACTTTATTCCGACAATGTGTAAGTTTACCGTAATTCCAAGCCTTTCTAAGGAGATTCTGTTATCTGATATACGGAATTTTCTGAGTTCATCTAAATCTGGACAATTCTCCTGCCAGTCGTTAGCTAGCTCTTGATGCTTCTTCAGAAATAGCTGCAAGAATACAACGAGAAGGAGAATTTATTATGCACTGATAAGAAAGATTAACGACGGTACCCCATTATATATGATGAACAAAACCGTCATTGTCATTATTGCCCATGCACATTAACATCGAAACGTAAATTTAGTCTAGATTTAAGGGTAACATGTAGTTTTTCCGAAGGTTCATAACAAGTTTAATTGTTTCAAAGGTTCGGAGCTGCAAAGGTTAGAACTTCGCATGTTAGAGCACTCTTTGTCACACATGCAAATCCAAGTTTGATCTTACTACCCACATTCTTCCTGTTTAAAATAGAATTTAATCAAAATTTAGACAATTTTCTTGACCAGTTTATAAATAACGGGGGACAACCTTTTCTCTATTTCTATAAAGGCGTGTCCGTCTCCCATTGAGAAACCGAAGGCCGTATCATAGGCCCTATTTGCATTAGACTAACTCATGTTAAAGCCTAGGTGACATTTGCCGAGGCGGCCGTGCGGTCTTAAATATCTACTGCCAATAGCGATTATAGGACCGCCGCAGCATTCCCACGGCCTAATTCCTGATGAAGAAAAAAAAGCACTAATTTTCGTTTGGCCCTCGAAAAATTGAAAACCGCATCGCCAGGGGAGGAGGCCCATCTCAAAAAAAAAGGTTTAATTAACGTATTTTGGGGGTTCGTTCCAGGTTGTTTTTTAGGCCTCTCTTTCGGCCGACTAGTTATCTCCACTGCTCTGGATAGTCCGAATGAGGCGTTTTCGTATGACACGTAGAAACACAGGCGTCAATGCAAGCATATTATACTGATACTATTGCATTTCTAATTTAAGATTGTGTCAAAGGGGATGGGGCCTTTTCAATTATTGGCCCATGAACTAATATTGCTAATACCTATAAGAATTGCGATAAACGGTACATGTACACCGTAAATGAACATGAACAGTGTTTTCCACTCAAAATGCGCATCTTGTAAAAGACATCGACTCATTTCGAAAAGCATTAAATTACTTTTCTGCGTGGCTTGACAACATATATTATAGTTTCAATCAAATACAAAATATTTGAATGTACAGCTTTATTGTGTTTTAAAACCGTCAAATATGACTAGTTTTAATAACCCGATATTTTGAGTAAGTCACAGTTTTATGTTTTATTGTACTATACGTATGTGTTTAATATCCAACTTTCAAATATCAAACAGGTTTATTAATTCAAACTCCTAATGAAGATTATATCAATTGAAAGGTCTTCATCAGAGCATACATACTTGGTCCACAATAAAAAAATCATGATTTTCAAATTTTGAGCCAAAAATGACTGTTTTAGTTAATCAAAATTCGCGTGGCATCTACCCCTATGTTATTATTTAGTATGATTTTCGATAAAGTGATGGATAGCATGGATGCCATTCATTACTCCCCCCCCCCCCCCCCACACACACACACTTTTTTTTTATTTAAACAATTTTGTTTTATTTCTCCAAATGTGCAATACAAACCATAACATACAATTGAATAAAATAAACGTTTTCAATATTGATGCTTTTACATAAACATAATTGAACACAAACTTATTTGCAGTATATATAACTTAGCAACAAAGTAAACGTATAATTACCTAAACATAATATGTCAATTGTAAATGTTATTCACTTATATACAACAAAAAAACACTTAAACAAATCTGGAGGTAATTTTACTGGAACAATCCTGCCCCCTCCCTGCCCCCATCCATCACACAAACATACTCACCCACCCACACCCCCCCCCCCACACACACACACTACTCATTCAGGGGATGTCTGCTAACATTCTTAACTCAAGAAAAATATACTAAATAAGTTATCCAGGCCGCAAAATAGAGTATAAACCCTTTTAACAGGCTCACGGTGGAGAAGAAGAAAACAATCTTAATTAATCTTAAGCTGCTCCCACTTTATGAAATGTGATCCCAGCTTTCCCATTTTAATTGCTATTTTCTTTTCCTCGTCCCTATACTTAAATATTTTTCTAAAGTTGTTACTCGCCCCCCCCCCGATCTTGACATAAATGTAACATACTTCACCATGAAAATGATAGTATTACACATTTTTATTCTATATGAACTTCCTACCAACCCAACAGATATATCTCACCATTCTAAATCTTTAAATTCATCTAACTCAGAAATGTGATCCCAGCTTTCCCATTTTAATTGCTATTTTCTTTTCCTCATCCCTATACTTAATTTTTTTTTCATCTTTTCTAAAGTTGGTACTCGCCCCCCCCCCCCGATTTTGATATAAATGTAACATACTTCACCATGAAAATGATAGTATTACACATTTTTATTTTACATGAACTTCCTACCAACCCAACAAATATATCTCACCATTCTAAATCTTTAATTTCATCTAACTCAAAAAGTTGTATTAAAGCCACGCACACACAAACACACACACACACACACACATGCCCTTTCTAGAGCCCTTTCTTATGTTTGGCTGGAATACTATCTAATTATCTGACTTAATGTACCATATAGAATAAAACATTTAAATTTATGTTTTCAATCGGAATTTTGAAAATAGTTAGTCGATATTTAATTCAATGATATTTATATTGTAAATAAAAGTTTTAAACAGATATGAAATAAAAAGTAAATGAAATGAAATTGAAAAAAAAAAACTAAATAACTTCTCATATTCTTAAAATGTCACCTCACCTGATAAAGTTCCTCTCCAATTGGAGTGTCACTCAATCCTGCTTCTCGTCCCGCATTTCCTACATCAACTCTCGAGTCCATGGCTGCACTTTCAAAATTCAATTTTGATTGTCAAGCAAAATCTTTTGTCCTTCAAGCCTCTCTGTTTTTTAGCGATGTTATGTCTTAACTGAACAACCACCAAGGAGAGTATTCCTCCAATTCTACACCATTTATATACTGGTAAGCTGCACGATTAAGAATTGTTCACTGCCAATCACACTCGTCCGTAAGCACGCATGCGTATATGACTTTCTCTCTCTATCTAGGATATGTGTCCTAGCTGCTGGCCTTTTATCTAGTTTATTAGAAGTGCCAAAACAAAAATAATTTGTAGTTGAAGTGCCACCCTGTATGGTTGACTGTGCTGCGAGGGAGCGTAGCGACCAAGCCGAAAATAGGTGGGGTCGTGGGGCGAAGCCCTAACGGGGGGTAGCAGGGGGCATAGCCCCCTGAAGCTGGTGGATTTCTCTCTCTTTCTAAGTGCCATATCGTTTGACTTTGGCGATCATGCCGTTCCACAACCCTCGGCTCCTAGCCTTCTGTTTTAGTACCACTCCCTGTTCTTTTTTGTTTTGTTGTTGCAACAGTCGCGCGCCGCCAGTTGAAGGCCTGTCATAGGGGGTAGTTGACTGGAATTAGCCCCTGGTTCTCTCCTTATCTCGTCACAAGTGATCTACTTTACTTTTATATTTCGTCTACGATCTTTCACGTAGTGAAGTCACAATGGAATTTTCTTAGTCAACTTTTTAGGTCCCCTTTTTACCACCCACCCCCCCCCCCTCCAATGATCAAGAAGGATTGTTTTATTTTCGGTCCTTGAAATTAAGGTACAGTCTCTTTGAAAATCAGTGGGCTTTTAAAGTGGTCATCCCTAAAGACGTGTTAATGAAACAAAAAGTACTAATGCTATGTTTAACAAATTTTCTGCAAAAGTGAATAGATACTACAGGAAGACATATGTATTCTGGGCAGTTAACAAGTCGTAGAAACTTTTTTATTTAGATAAGCAAGCAATACAGTAGCGAACAAAACAATTTTTTCGTAATATAAAGTGATGAAAAGGCATTCAAAGATAGTACGAGCTTCCAACAAAACATAATGTGTATGAAAGCGTTGGATTTCATCTTTATAAAAAAAAAAGATTTTCAAAGAATTTCAAAATTACCAACTATTCAACATCCTGCAATATTTAAGCAGAAGATAAAATATCTTCTCGAAGTTTTCAAGACAGTACAAGCCTAGCTCTACGATTAATTGATAAAGTGAACCTGCAAGTCTGAATAAGTATTCCACACCACCTGGTACTTGACCCTAGATCTCTAATAAAAAGTTTCCACGGACTTACATAGACATGGGCGTAATTTCGTTCTCGTTAGTTTGATCGATTTTAACATTGAATAAAGCAATTCGTTATAGAACCACCTGTCACCTGCTTCTTGACCACTTGTCAGCAGCAGTTCCGTAAAGCAGGGCACCTATATAGCTGAGTTGGAGCCTAATATAGAAAATTTGCAAATACAAAGATTTATTGAATGTTGTGCAAAAGGAATGGAATAGTGAAGAACGTATAGTAATTGGAGGTGATTATTATTGCGTCCTACACAGTAAAAACGCTGTTTAAAAAAGTGATGTTCACTTACAGTTGTACACTATCTTAAACAACAGTTGATCAAATCGTAAACAATGTTGCTCGAAACAGAAGTAATTTTGTTAAACATTCGGGCCCGAATTCACAAAGCAAGGTTTGAGCTCAGACCAAGGTTTGACCTCAAACCTCCTTTTGTTTCGCCAAACCTCCTTTTGTTATTTACAAACCTGGTTTGTAAATAACAAAGGGAAGTTTGGCGAAACAAAAGGAGGTTTGAGCTCAAACCTTGGTCTGAGCTCAAACCTTGCTTTGTGAATTCGGGCCTCGTTGTTTAAAATTTAATGACTGCTATATTTACTATACGAGAGCTTTTAGACAATGTTGTTTACATATGACGTCATGTGTCTCGTGCCAGTTAAGTGTGTGTTGGCTAAAGGCTTTATTTCACATTGTTATGTTTAGAAACAGGTTCCTTGAAACTAACATGCAATTGAAATTGACATGCCACTTAGAAATGCAGTGCAGCTGTTAAGGCACAGCTCATTGTTATTCATATTAGATGCATACACACAATGCAAGTGTATGCAAGGGCCTTTTGTTGACTACACAGATTGATACATATGTAAAAGCACATGGACATTGAGTCTGGATCAAACTACCAAAGCAACCACACGTGTTTCTGCAGGCTCCATCTTGTTTGTCTCTATACTTACATTTATTTAGCTTAATAGTTATTACTTTCCAACCCACAACACAACATCATGGCCGACCAAGCTACCGACGCGCTTCTAAGTGACTGGGGATTCAATGGCTTAATTGAAATCACTTTTCTATTAACCACTTTGAAGTTTTTAACTTATAGCGTAAGTTCACAGTTAAAATTTTCGGTATCTGTACGCAAATGTCAGAATATTGGTAGACTTAAAATCGTCGCGTCATGCAGTGCGGCACTGATCGCGCACTCGGTTATAACGTGTGCTAAATTCCTTGCCATAGAGATTGCATGCATCCTTATATATGCAGTTTATACGTGCGTGCATGCGCGCTCATGCAAAATGGGCACTGTTTTGGCGCTAATTCATGAATTGCAGAATGACCCTAGTCTTCATATACCTATATAGAGACCCAGAAGTAGTGGTGCACTTATTCAGAGTATCAAACCCAAATTATACCCCATTATACAACCCTTTTGTTGTAAACAACCCCCACTGAACAACAGCTCCTTTTTAAACAACTTTCTTTAAACAACCCAGTTGGTTTAAACAACCCCAACTGAACAACAGCTCCATTTTAAACAACTTTCTTTAAGCAACCCAGTTGGTGTAAACAACCCCCACTGAACAACAGCTCCTTTTTAACCAACTTCCTTTAAACAACCCAGTTGGTGTAAACAACCCCCACTGAACAACAGCTCCGTTTTAAACAACTTTCTTTAAACAACCCAGTTGGTGTAAACAACCTCCACTGAACAACAGCTCCGTTTTAAACAACCGTCTCTAAACAACACCGGTTGTTTAAATTGTGATTTTAAACAAGTTGTTCAAAATGTTGATCAACTTAGTGTTTAAACTTTAAACAACTCGAGTTGCTTAACATTTTAAACAACTCTTAGATCAGGTCACCCGTTAATCAAGAGTTGTTTAAACTTTTAAACAACTTGTTCACAAAAATTTTAACTGTGTAGACCCTAAAGTAGATAAAATGGGAGCGAAAAAATTAATCAAAAAAAATGTTGTGGAAAGATTGAAGATATTATGTTAAATTTTGATTTGATTGATATTTGGCGCACTATGAATATAAATGAATCCCGTTACACTTGGAGGCAAATCCAGCCTTTTGTACAGAGTAGGCTTGATTATTTCTCAATACATAATGATCTTAAACTAAAAGTTAAAAAAAAACAGGGATAACTTCTGCTCTACGAACAGATCATTCTGCTATACATATGACAATTAAGTTGAGTGAAATATCCAGAGGAAAAGAATACTGGAAGTTAAACACTTCCCTGACCTTTATGTTAAGACATTGAAAGAAAATATCCAAAGATGGAAAATAGATTACTTAATATGGATCCTAAAATAAAATGGGATTGGATGAAATATCAAGTCAAGTTATTTACAACCAAATATTCAAAGGAAAAAAATAAAGAAACTTGTAAAATCGAAATTGATCTCCGGGAACGACTTGAAGTTAACGGAAGGAATGAACGGTTTTGAATAGTACATATAAAGTTCAAGAAGTAGAAAACATAAAAGAAGAAATTATTAGAATTGAAAATTAAAAATTAAAACGTGTTATGGTAAGAGCAAGGTGTAGGTGGTATGAAAAGGGAGAAAAGAGTAACGAATATCTTTTAGGTTTGGAAAGAAGAAACCAAGTGAATAATTAATGTCATTCTATTATGAAAAAAAGATACAAATAAGTTGATTACAAATCAGCAAGATATTTTGAAAACACAGATTACAGTTTTAAGAGTTTTAACTGAAATTGTATAAGTCAAGGTTGAATGATGGTGCAAATTATGAGGCCAAGAAATTCTTGCAAAATCTATGTACACCTTCTCTAAATGAGTTAGAGAGAAATATTCTTGATAAACCATTAAATAAGAAAGAAATTAAGGAAGGAATGTATAGTATGACTGCAAATTAAAGCCCTGGATGATGGCCTTCCTGTAGAATTTTACAGAACATTTTGGAACATGTTAGAAGATATCCATTTAGAATCAGTGAGTATAAGTTTGGAAAGAGGAGAATTTACAACTTCGCAAAAACAAGCAATTATCACTCTGATCAGTAAAGAAGGAAAAGATGAACAATACCTAGAAAATTGGAGACCAATATCACTACTCAATGCTGATATTAAAATTGTATCGAAAGTTTTTGCTACCCGTTTATGTAAATTTTCTTCATTTTCTGGCTTAAAAATCAGCAAAGATAAGAGTAAAGCTATGTGGTTGGGCTAATATAGAGATTCACAGGATGAATACTTTGAGTTTGAATGGTCGAAAAAACCTATAAAGGGTCTTGGAATTTGTTTCTCTTATGACACCGATGCAGCTTTAAAACTTAATTTAGATAAATGATATTGTTAAATGTATGGATAAAAAGAAATCTTACCTTAATAGGAAAAATACAAATTTTAAAAACTTTTGCATTGTCAAAATTAATTTTTTGTGCATCATTTTTACCTGTCCCTGAATATGTGATGGAAGAACTGGAAAAAACTATACATGTATTTTTATGGAACGGAAAAAGGAATTATATTAAAAAGTCGTCATTGATTGCTCCGTATTCTAAAGGGGGTCTGAATATGATAGACATTCATTCAATGTTTAAGGCGCTAAGAATAAAATGGATAGTAAGACGTTTTGAAGAAGAGTATTCTTCATGGAAATATTTTTTGATCACTTTACGAGAAAATATGGTTGGACAATTTTTACTTTATTGCAACTTTGACAAAAAAGATTTTTCAAATTTAAAACATTTACCTACATTTTATAAAGAGGTTTTATATGCATATTTTGACTCTAGAGAACTTAAATAATAATCGACTTTCCCAAGAAAGTATTATATGGAACAATAGACAAATAAGAATAGCTGGTAACAGTTGCCTTGTA